ACCACATTTTCCAACTTTTTACCCCCGTCGCGTGAAAATTTCGTTTTTCTAAGTTTCTGAAGCCGTTTCCGCACGGATTGCCAATCCGAGAGTACTTCAATTAGAGAATATGATATGGGTCCAACTTTTCAATTAGGACGCCAACTCCGGATCGGCACTATAAGAATCCCAATTTGCACAAGTCCTATAACGTATATATAACATATATGTCCCCTTTATATCAACCCCCCCCCCCTATTGGCACCCCTGCCGCCCCCCGTACCCGCACCACCGCCCATATGACCCATCACTTGCCCTTGCACACCTAGTCCTCCCCGACTTGCCTAGGTGCGCAACACCCCCCGCCACTACATCCCTCAGAGTCAAAAATTCGAACTGTAGAACACACCCAAAAGCCAGAAAACTCGAAAATTTCTAAGTCCCTAGGGTTCCAGGCAACCCAATAATAAAACCCAACCCAGGGGGTCTTGTAACCCTAACCCTAACCCTAACCCTAACCCTAACCCTAACCCTAATCCTAACCCTAACCCTAACCCTAACCCTAACCCTAACCCTAACCCTAACCCTAACCCTAAGTTTTACTGGTCTGACCAATGTTTTTCACTTGTCGTCCAGCTCTCAGCCGCACAAACTCCCGATTAAAGCATAGACGTATCGATGGCAATTCTCCTTGTACTTCCACACTTGATAAGGGGGCGGGTGATTCACGCCATAGTGTCATCGTGAATAACCTTTCATGCGAGATGAGTACCACCAGCGTAGATTTCAAGATTAGTATAGGGAACACTGCTATGATGGTCTTCTCAGACCATCAATGGTGCCTCTTTGGCTGCGGAACCACCGGCGGCGCTAACGTGCTCTGCCGTAGTGGATATATCATAGAAAGCCAATACATCCAAATTGGGATCACGGGCTTGAACTTCAGCGCGGACTCCCAATAGCCTTAAAGGGTGAGGGACTGTAGTGCATCTGGAGGTCCGTAGGGCCGACCACGGGGTCCTTGGGTTCTTTCATGGGCAGGGATTGGTCACCTTTGTGAAAACGCCCTTGTTTGATCGCCAGCCTGCTCGTCTTTGGAGAGTGGCAAACAATCTTCCTATGGAAACTACCTTGAATGACGTGCTCTAGAGGTGACACGCGGGAAAGTGCCCCTGGAGTTGTCGCTCCCAGTTACACTAATCTTCTTACGCTAGTCATCCCATCCCCCACACCACATTCAGAATGATAAGGAATTTGGCTGGGCGGATATGATGAGAATAGAACCCAAAGTGCAACAACGAGGGACTGATAACTTTACCAATGTAGAGGGTTTAGCTGGGCAGAGTCATGGATCTGTCATCAAGACCGCAATTTTGCCTCTTTTACGCAAGGAGTCATTTTCTGATGCAAAGGTCGGGCTGCGCTCACGTCATTGACCCATGTGGTGCGACTGGTGCACCGGGCTGCTGCCGCGTCGATGGTCCAAGCGCTACCGGCGGTCGTAAGGATGTAGTTCGGGACCAATAGGACCGTATACCCAGGCGGAATATAACACCACGACTGACCAGATGGCGAAATAAAGGCCGGAGGGATCCATGCATTGGCGGTCTGCTGGATGGACATGGATCGTGACGCTGGCGTCAAATAATGCTGCTGAAAACGTCAGTGGGGCTCGTCGGTTGCTGGAGAGGTGTTCGGGGCAGAAGTTCGCCAGAGGGTCGACATCTGCGATCTCGACAGGGCGCGTGCCCCCGCAACCTTCGCATCTCACGTGACGCTAAGCGGTCCGAGAGACACAGCAGGGCCCCACAACCGACGTCCATTTTCAAGGGTTCTAAACGACGTAACATTTTCCTTTCCACCGACAACCCGGCGTACCCTGGAAAAATGTGGAAAGCTGAAAACCGTAGGCGTTGAACCGAAGTTTCGTCTAGCGTTTATGTTCTTCATGTCCTTCCGAAACTGCATATATACATTTTCTTTGCATGCATATCGTTTAGATGGAATTGGGTGGATGCATTGCGAGTGCTTGGGTGTCCCCGCGAATGGCATCGGTTGCCTACGCAGCACACGAGAACCGCATAGCTTTAGCAAAACGAGCTCGTCCAGTCACACTTCAACCCCTTTTCTGAACACAAGTAGACAGCAACTTTTGACGCACTCCGTCTCGCGGATATTCGCCACATCTGAGAGCATCCTAGCCTGTGCGCGTAAACATCCACCGGCAGAAAAACACCGACCCAATTCATCACCACACTCGGTCCGAGATGTGACCGACTTCCCTTGCCCTGTTTTTCCCGTACAACACGCGTTGACCGGCCACATCGCAGACAGCACCTCTCTGGCTCCTCGCGATGGCAGAACGGCATTACCTTTTCGGAAGGATCTCAAGAGACGATGCTGCCTTCCGACATTCCCGTCAGCTTATTGACACTCCGGAGTTTGCACAACAGAGGAACAGGCCATTCGAACTTCAACGAAGAATCATAATCCACGATCTCATCTCAATGATCTTATTCTGAAATCTGCACAACAGCTGCCGCTAGTTGTGCAACCTCGGAGGTTGCACCAAGCGGCCGTCTACATCATAGCTGCGTGCTGTTGCGGTATGTGGCTGCACTATTCGAACGCGTCGCGCAGTCCATGTAGGACTTTTCTGGGTCGATACGCAGGATTTTTCCCGAGAGAAGCAAACGGAGTCGACGGTGGAACTTTGGAACTAACGCCGCGCGGGCAGGGAACAACGTTCGGGAAATCGAATGCAGCGCAGATATCTGTCATTGCGGCCATGGCATAGCCTCGGAGCGGCCGGCTCCGCCACCACCGGTTCTAGTGACGTCGACAGTGGAATTTGGGCCTACTGTATTGTATGTGCGTCCACGTCGGCACGTTTTGGCAACAAAATGTATTGGACTCCGAGTCCCGAGGGCATCTATCATATCCCATCCTTTGCAGCTATAGCATAGCCCCGAGTGCGGCCGGCATCGCCCTCATGAAGATCTCAGTGATAGGATCATCGCAGTTGTTGCATCGCAAGACTCGCGCCGGCCGCAAGTGTATGGCTAGGCCTACCCATTGAGAAAAAAAAACCTCAAGTAACGCGAGCCAACTGGCAGGAATATTGCATTGGTGGCTGGCTGTCACGCCGGCTCCGAGTGCGGCCGACTCAACCAAATGGCCGATCCGTGTCGTTGTCATGGACGCCACGCTTCGGTTCTTTCGTGATGCTTCTTTCCATTATACTCCGCCCCGTTTTGGCCACTGTCAGAGCAGTGAGTGCGCTGATGAGAGCGCTGAGAGCAGAAGGAGTACAAACCGGACGGTGAAGGATAGCGGCTGGCGATATGCATAAATAGGAAGGACCGGATGGACTCCCTCGTCCTCAACATCAGTTGCACCTCCATCTCATCGAACTCAGCAATCATCGCACTTCTAGCGAACCTCAGCAACCAACGCCCAACGGTTCACTCCGACCCACATACACTTAAAATGCGCGCTACCCTCGCTTTCCTCGCCCCACTCCTCGCCGCCAGCGCCCTCGGGGCACCCGCCGCTCCAGCTGCTCCAGCTCCCGATGCCGCCGCCGCTGCGTGCTCCGCCAGTGACTGGAACATCCTTGAGAACCGCGATCTGAAGGACATTGGAGATCTCACTGCCCACCCGGTCTTCAAAAAGAAGTTCAACAGGTGAGATGAAGGAAATGGGCTGCGATTGGGTTCACGGGCTTCGTGCTAACCCAACCCCCAAAAAGTGCTTGCGAATGCGCCAACGCCGTGAGCGCCGTTCCATCCCCCAAGGCTGCCTTCTTCGTTTGGAACAGTTCCACCAAGGAATGCTTCCCTAAGGGCGTCACTCCGTTCACCCAAGAGAACTCCCAACGCCTCACCATCGCTGATCAGATCAGTGATAAAATCGACGATGCCGAGAAGGGTCTCTTTGCTACCAACGCGCAGCTCAAAAAGGTTTGCGGCGCTAGTTTCCGCATCCCCACTCAATGGGCAAATGTGGAAACGGGATGCTCGGAAATTTGTGCCGCCAACACTTTCGTCGACGGCTGTGACTTTGCAATCACCATCGCCGCTCACGCTGGTAAGCCATGATCGTCCACGAGTGTATGGCGATACGGCACTTCTCACTTCTCATCGCTGACCGTTCCTCCTCGTTTATTGTTTTCTCCTACTCCTAGGCTTCACGTATTGCGATATTTGCAAATACCAGACCGCTCAAGGCCAGTGGTTGGGAGCTCGTTCCAAGTGGTAGATTGGGCCGAGAGGCGACTCCGACTTGTTTACAGAGACGTTAGAGAAGGACTTGCTTGTAGTAGTAGAGAACAGAGGTGTTTGATACTATGTAGAATACCTTTTGAATAACACATGGTGCAACATGATTGAGCGTGGGAGTGATTGCGCACGGTGTCTTTACTCTGGCGCTGTCGCTGTCTGCAGTCCTGTGGGGTTCGCAAGGGCATGCCACGCAGATGCCACCTAGAACGCGATGCAGGCGAGTCGCGTGGCTAATCAACGGGGTAGCGTGTGCAAGCGGCGGCCAATTCGTTGCGGAGTGTCGTCTCGTTCTTCCTTCTCTCTCCTTCTCTTTCCTTTCCACCAGAAGGCACATAAAGTCCGCTCAGCAGGACCAGTGATCCCCGCGCATTCTCACCACCCCCACTCACTCATCAAGCCGTCACAATGAATCCCGCCGTAAGTCTGCTCATTGCTTTCTGCATTGCTGTGCTGGCCGCCGCTAACCCATTCCCTCACAAATGCGAACATTGTAGATGCAAAGTAGCTCCAGGTCCATCACGTCCCTCTCTTTACGCAAGAGGAGGCCGTCAAAGATGAGGGCACCGACATCCAGAGATTTACTCTGGAAGAATTGCTCCATCGCAAGCACGGCTCGGTTCTCCAGCGTTTGCGACAGGATCGCCAGGAACGTGCCCTTGATGTTGTGCGTCACTTCACCGCTGCGGAGTCTTTTAAGATGATCCCAGAGTGGCTTCCATTGTGAGCTTGTTCGGAAACCGGCGGGACAAACGACGTCGTAGATGTACTTGTGAATGGCGGCGAAGAACGGCTCGGACGGGGTGCGGGTCGAGGTGAATAACATGGCAATGGTGACGTAGTTTGCGTCGAAGACCGCGTTGACGGCATAGCTCGGGAACTGGGCGCGGACCCGTTCGGCATGCAATCTTCTCTTCCTCCTTGCGAAGTAAAGGGGTATCTTCTGTACAGTCATCGGACATAAAGCTGTGCACCCCCTCTAATTGAAATCAATATCGATTACTCACGTGAATTTGGCGTTCCCGCAGTCGCTGATTTATTTCAGGGGGATGCACAGCTTTTTGTCCGTTGACTGTACAGTAGGGGTAGACGCGTCTGGTAGTCCGTAACGCGTCTGGAAGTCCGTCGAGTTTCCTCCAGGCGAAGATAAAAGCGGGGTGTTCCTCTGGATTACAAAGCCCGCGCACTGACAGAATGTGACAGCGCGTTACAAACCGCAGTCCGAAATCTGCTTCACCACTTCCGGTCCTATTCCTGAAACTTGAACAACGTAGCATCAATCAGAAGGAGGAGACCCTGCGCTTGCGTTCTGTATCCTCACCATCATTCACATCCCATTGCCAGCCTTGTTTGTCTAGTCGAGCATTGGCCCATAATGTTATAGAGGTCTTCTTCGCTGCACCCTTGACCTATCTTCCTCTGCTCATTGCTCTTCCCATAGCGCAGGTCCATGAGGTGCTTCAGCGCCTTGACCTTTTTGTTGTCCGAGCCCAGCTGTTCCCTGGTGGTTCACTCCTTGAATGCAACCAACAGAGCGTCGCTGGTCACGTACGCATCTACGCCGGGATTGCACGTTAGGTCCACGAATTGTTGTGGAGGGTCTTGCGAATACCGCCAAGCTTTGGTGGCTTTACAAACGCTCTCTGGCTGATACCTTGTCAAACCTTCTACAAGATATCGTCCGCGATGATATTTGACTAAGAGGGCAAGAAACGTATCGGCGCAGGGCAATGAATTCTCGGCCATGCTATCATCTAACTTCCGTTCTCGCGCACTAGGTGGACCCGGTGAGTCGACAAACTTAGCCAAGCACTCAATGACCTTTGGTCGACGCCAGAAGCCGTCGCTGTTGTCTGCCACCTCTGGCAAATGGTTCGACGCTACAAGCGGCATTGCTGTCGCAAGGAAGTTCTCATTCAAGTTCCTCTCCTTTACCTTGTGGTTGCCAGTCAGCAACTTGAAGAGATCGGTGTATATCTTTTCCAGTTCGGCTTCATATATCATGGCTGCCCGTTCCCCCTTTGTGGAATGAGCTGCGCGGGTACAGTTACCATACGGCCTCACTCGGTCCTGCTTGCTCCGACCGACGGCCCGACGCGCCCAGCAGCGAAAGGACGGACATTCGCCAACAACGCCGGAACGACGCTCGACAAATCCTACTCCGCCGAACCGACGCGCCCAACAGCGAAAGGATATTCACGAACACCGCCCGAACGACGTTGTCTGCGTGCTGCAGCCGGAGCTTAAAGGCAAAGCCTGCTCTGCCAGACAACCGCCAAGCGCTTTCAGCAAAACAGCAACCAGGCCAGAACTGCTTGAGTTCGTCTTGTTTTCGATTCAGTTCTTGGATGTGCGTTCTGAGTAAGCCCGTTGTGGCAGCGAGATTGTCCGTGACATCATTGTAATTCTTCGCTCAATCTATCCAACTCGGTGGACGGTCGCTGCGCTCCGTGCGGTGGAGGGACATCGGACAGGTCTGTCCTTGGACCGTTCGGAGTGGGATTTGTCGAGCGTCGTTCGGGCGTTGTTGGTAAATGTCCTTTCGCTGTTGGGCGCGTCGGTCCGCCACCCATCAAAGCGTACGCGCACTCACCAGCAATATTGCACCGACAGGTCCACCTTGATGGGCAAAAGACAGACGCCTGGGCAATCTATCAGGCCGCTCTGCGCTCAAATTCCGCGAGGAACTTGCGAATATAAAGGCCGGTCCCACTGCAGTCCCCGTCGACCTCGGAAAGCATACATCTATCGCAAAATCATCAACTCCTGCAACATGGTTTACTTCCGCATGCTCGATAAGCGAGGAGTCAAGCGAGCCTTCAACCTTTCGCACGGAGACAAGCTGTCGGACAAGGACTTCGAGGCGTACGGCGGCTTCATCATTGGAACAATGCTCCGGTCCGGGGTGGAAGCGAAGGACTGGGGGCGCGACTACGCCCCGTTCTACTGGAATACTCGCCCGAAGTGGCGAGCGCTCTACGGTCGCTACGTACAAGATAGGGGTATTTGGCCCGTCTTCGACAAGCCCGGTGTCATGGAGTTTGTTCAAGTGAAAACCCAAAAAGTGGTCGAATCACTGCCGTACCCAAACGAGTACGCGGAGGGGCCTGACCCCGATCGCCGTCCCCCGAGCGCTTCAGGACCCTGCTGTGACATTCACCCGCAGCCTCACGACATCTGCATCGAACCGGGTCAATTATGAAGTGGCCCGCATTTATCCACAAGTTTCCCCTCGCTGTATCTAATAGTTCGTCTTCGCCCGCCAGACCCTGTAATCAACCTGCAAATCTCGCTTTGTACTGTACACGACCTCTGCTGTGTCAATAAAATAGTCAAATTCATATTTCCCTCCTGATGTTGAATCTGGTTGGAAGGTGGGCGCCGGATTCGGTCATCCGCACGCCCAAGCAATTTCACTTGTCATTGTGCAATGTTTGACTACAAGCCGCGCTTCCTGGGTCAACTGCTGAAAACATGCTAAATGGGGTCTTGTCATAAGGACATGTTCAGTGCACCAAGCAGTTCTTGCAAACATATCGGCAATCCGCCAGTGGTGTTCTACACGGTGTCACTATGCAGAGGAAGGGGGAAACCGACAAAGTCACTTTGGCTTGGAGCGACCAGGGGGTCATACTTGTAGCGGGTTTTTTTTTGTGCAGGCCGGATCCACTCAGTCAGCGCACGAGCCGAGCTGAATCAGACTCCAGAGCGCGAGCGCAGACTCCCAACAGCGCGAACGTGCAAGCGGTGCGCGATTGTGAACGCTGAAGGTCACTCGCACTCCGCGGTGTGCTGTGGGATCGAGTGGGCGCTGTGCTTGCGAGGTTCCCAGTGAAAGGGTGTTTCCGTTGGCGATGCGCTGCGTGGGGTAGCTTCCTGCGTACTGCGTATAGATTACCAACGCCATCCATTACCAACCGCATCCATCCGTAGGCCCTCAACAGTCATGAAATTCTCCGTCGCCCCCACCGTCTTCCTCGCCCTTTTCCTCACCTCCACGGCTGAAGCCGCCAAGTGCAAATACCGTTCCAAGAATTTTCACGGGGCATGCCTGAGCGACAAGAACTGCGCGAACATCTGCAGAGGTGAACGCACAAAGAACATGGGAGGAAGCTGTGACATCTCCCTACCTGGTCGCGCTTGCTTCTGCTACAGTCCTTGCAAAGCCCATTAGGGCTTTGGTACTTGTAGTGATTTAGGAAGATGAAGACACGTTTGGGCACGTTTATTGGGTGAAGTTGTTTGCGGGATGTTACTGGAAGTAGAGTCCATAGCATTTAAGCACCTTTCGTTCCATATCCGAAAGCCCTAGCTCTCGTAGCATGCTGAAGAATCCTTAACCCGTTATTCAGTGCGTTGGCAGTTCCAAGGGGTGCAATCAGGCGGATACCGTGCAATGGCCCCTGTCCGGCATGGCAGATACATAAAGTGACATTTGAGATGAAAAAGACCCAATCATGTGAGAACTCGTCGGCTGGAGTCTCGCACCGTTGCTAGATAGTCCGCCCGCCTATAATCGTACTGCTGGCCGCCGACTGGCTGCTGTCTCCGCTGGTCATACTGGCTGGCGTCGTCATCTGGAGTTGGAGTGGAGGGTGTGAACTCAGGTTATTGTCTGGTTTCTGTAATGTCTCCCATCGAGAGCAAACGGTACGGCTCGACAAGATTTCCAGTCGCGCGCCGAGCGATCCAGGGGGTGAAGATGGCGGCAGGTATGACGAGCATGTGGCAGATGTTGCTTGCGGGATGACATGTTGCGGATGCACCCTACCCTCCTTGTGCTATTTGACGAAAATCCGATGGAATGCGAAGCATGAAAACCTCCCCAGTGCTCTCATTGGGGTAATCAAGTCAATAGTGTCGATTGACATAGTTCACCCAGAATCCGATAGTTTCCCGAAGGTCAGCTAATGGCCCCTGGAACCACTCGCAATGGCCTTTCTGGGTTTTGCACTCACATTGCACGTTTCCCAGCCACCTTCCCTTCAACTTCAGCTCGGAATGTATCAAATTCTCGCATAATCTGTGGCAATTGACCTTCCATTCACCGATCAGCACTGGAGAGTGGCCACACTGTCTTCCCCATTGCGCCATGCGCTTCTTCACGCCTACTTTGGAGCCCGTGCATCCCACTTTCCAGCGGTCTTGATCTATCGGGTTCACATACTGCTGCCCGTTTCTGAAGATGTACATTGAGCCCTCTCCATCGGAACCTGGTCTCATACCACAAAGTAAGCGACGGAAAACGGGCATAGCCTTGCCGCCTGGAATGCGACGAGATATCGCATTGAAGTCATGCTGGATGCCAGCTCCAGCTATAGGTTTGGGCTCCTCTTCGGGACTTTCCAGACTCATCTGGCCGGTCTCGTACCAGCTCTTTTGCCACTCGCTTACAAGGGCAGGAGGCGCGACCCATAGAACGCATAGTGCTATAATGAAAAGAACCCAGATGCTTGTTTGATAACTGAACAATCTTGAGGCCCGGCTCTGCAGCAAGCTACTTGTGTATATGCCAATATTTTTCGGGGAAAGCTGGTTAAGCATGTAGCAGTCCAGTTACCGCACTTCCCAGACCACGGATGTTCTTGCAGATGATCATATGCCGTCCTAAAGCACAAGGGGACAGCGAGAAAGTGAGAACAGAACCCAAAGTAGACAACAAGGGGGTCAATATGCATACCAATGCGGTGGCGTCGGTTGGCTATAGTGACGGCGTGTCAAGAATGGAAATTATCGAGTATCGTGGTCTTCCTTCTTTACGCGACCAGCCTTTTGCGGAAGTGGACGCCCAAGTGCGTTGATGTCATTGGCCGATGATGTTCGAGTGGAGATGGAGGTCGCTGCATTGACTATCCACGTCCCGCCGGCGGTCGCAAGAATATAGTTGGGAACAAGCAGGACCGTATAGGCCGGCGGCACAAAACAGCATGTCTGACCTGATCGCGAATTCATGGGTGGAGGGACCAGTGCATTTGGGGTCTGCCGAACGGACATCGATCCTCAAACGTTCCAGGGGCAAATATCTCTGTCGAAGGGGTACGGTCGCCTGTGGGGTGCGTGGGCGGATGGAAGAGTTTTTCGGCAGAAACAACCGGTAGCACAACCCGCACCGACAGGTAGTACGGGGCTCTCATGCCGAATGCTTGTATAACGAGAGGACAAGGTCAGCAAGGCTGCGAGCGGCTTTTTGAAGAGCTTCGATGGACGTTTCCTCAAAGTCACCCTTCCAACCCGCTTTCGACAGCGCGTCCATCTTAGGCTGTCGGTGGGGCATCACGTGTTGCCCAACGCCGTGAGCGAACCCGCCTTTGTGAGCACAACAACGACAGTCATCTCAAAGGCCCTCTAGCTACGTCCTTTCTCTCACTCTCGTTCACCGACCTCTTCAACAGGAAGACAACGTGCACGCTGAAAGCCACCGGCGTTAAAATCGAAAGACCTTTTTTGTAGCTGGCCTACGTCCTATGGAAACTTGTCTCGGAGGACGGCGTCCACGCTTGGATGCTCGCTCTCTCCAGAATTGCAAGAATCCTGCTCACCACCTGGAACCTTGGGGGACAACTAGGCGAGCTGTACGTATCGAACAACCTCCACGACGACTCCGCAACGGTGGCGAGCCGAACTAGCGCGCTTGCAAAAATTCACGAGCTGGAGATGGTCAACACAGCCCTTTCCGCCCTTCTGGTTCTTATTGCCGGACAGATTTGCGGTGCGGTGGAGCGAGCGGGTTGGTGGGGGCCGCGGAGTAAGGCGCTCACCGAGAACGGCGGCCAAATACTTCGCGAAAACGTCCAAACCTCGCGCCTGCGCAAGGAGGATCGGTTTGAGAGTTGCCGGCTCAGCGCCCGATAGTCGGCATTATGGTCACCCGCCCTCGGTTTCAATAAGCCTGCCGGCTCCCCCAGTCAGTATTCAGTTCACGAGATCTTATCTGTCGAGGGAGGGTCCAACGGGGATGCAAAACCATAAGATCTTAGTCATTTGACGATGCTCCGATACGGTCAGGGCTGAGGCTGCACAGATTGCTTCGACCTGTGCCGTCGTCCTCGTCCCATCATCAAAGTTGTTAACCCTGCCGCCGCCAAAGACGATCGCGCGACAGACGGAATGGCTACCGGATTGATATATGAAGGAAAGGTTTTAAAGTCAAGGTAAGCGGATTATAATGTGAACCTTGGTCTGTTGACGATAGGATCGCTGATGCTTTTGGTTTCCCCCAAATCCGCTAGACTGATTTGATGGAAGAGGCCGTACCGCAGCCAGGCTATGGCCTGTTATGGTGTGATGGTGCGGCGTTTTGGCGGAATATGGTTGGTCGAGCGGCGGAGGGGATGCGTGTCACGTGAGTGAGGCAAAGTTTCTGTCGCAAGCTTGCGGCATGAAAATGGGCCTGCTCAAGGGTGCCTGGCAGCCACGGCGGACTTTGTCGTTCCATTTTCTCTACCCTCTACCCGCAATATCGGAAACAATATCTCGAACATGTCCCTCCAAATATCGTCGCATCCCGTGCCCCTTACCATTTGCCGTGAGCATGTGGGCTCGAAGGAAGTTCCCGCTTTGAAAGGTGAGCAAAAGCAAGAAAGAGAGAGGGATGGTTCCTGCCTTGTTCTCACATGGAACCCCTATCTCATCTCAATCCTTTTCTCCTTGCAGATGAAAGCTCGGGGACGTCGTTCTTTCTTCTGAAGGACGTGTGTGGTGCTCTAGGCGTGGCCTATGGCCGAGTTCGAGGCATCCTGCACAGAAGGAAAGCCGAAGTGTCTACGTTAGTGCTGAGCGGGGCAGAGCTGAAGGAGTTCAAAGCGACCTCGGCGTACGCCATGACAGCATCCCACCTATGCTTCGTGGAGGAAGGAGGATTGAGCGGCATTCTTCAAGGGATGGGGCATCATCAGAACGGGAGTCCTTTAAAGCAAACAGCGGAGACTAGGGCAGAACTGGAGAGCGAAAACGACCGGGTTGAGCCAGACGTCAGCGAGCTGGTGGTTGCTCAACAGGGCTCGCCCTCAACGGCTGAGGAAGACCGGTCGACGCCCGAAACGGACGATGTACCGCTTGGTCTGCAGTTCCGGAGCCTCAGCCCGCCCCTCACACCGCAAAGTCAGCGACTAAGCCCATTGATGTCCAGGGCGAACCCGGGCACTTCCGATTCCGAAGTGATTGATCACGCCCCTATCCCCCGCTTGCTTGCTACGCCGCCAACACCGGGTAATCCGCAGCGGACTCCAGTGCCTGTCATACCCGAGTCCAATATCCGGCCCAGCGGTAGTCATGCGGGGATCGGATCGTCATCCGAGGGTGCGGCAGGTCATCAACGTGGAGTTATGCCAGATGTGGACAACGAGGATCTGAGCCGAGGGATCAAGAGCGTTTTGCGTTTCAAGTGGTATGTTTCCCAGGTCTTCACCGCCTCGCATTCAAAGGACCATCGTATCTAAAGTCCGCAAACTTCTAGCTACACTTTACAAAGTTTCGAGATGACGCCCCTAAATCATCTGGAGTTCCATGGCCTACGCGCGTTCTTCAGCGTGCCATACGAGCGCAGACGGGGGCATGGTCGGCCTTGGAACAAACAGACCATCGCAAAGTCCCGCGAGAGGATATGCGGCTTCTTGGGCTGGTTGAAGGAATCTGGACGGTCTCGAACTCCTTCGTTCGAGCATTTCGAGGATGTTGACTGGTTCCTGGTAAGCAATGCGCAGAGCGGATGACTTTGGGATGACTTTCCACCCGCATTTGTTAAAAGCCCTCCCGTAGATCAAATACGTCGACGGTTATCTCAGCCGCATTAGAGGCCTGAGCCCGGGAAGCCTGGCAAACCACATAACCTCGGCCATAGATGTGCTGAGATACCGCTTAGCCGAAAACGAGGATCCAAGCAACAGGACGGCGGCCGCAGACCCTAACACCGCGAGGCTCATGCGCGCACGCAATAGAAACCAGACTCTGGCCGAGCGGGACAGGAACGACAAGGACTCTCAAACCCCTGGGGTGATCATATGGGAACAGGTCGGTCCTGCAATTTTACACTGTGCGACCCGACGCGATCCCGCCTTCTGACGTCTCTTTTCATCTTACGCAGTTCTTAGAAGCGGTACATCAGGAACGGCTGGCTCTGAAAACCCTCTGGGGCACCTCGCCTATGCCGGACATCAGCAGAGAATTGGCCATCGAAGTGCAAAAGTACGTGGCACTGACTTTCTACGCTTGCATGCCTCCGGCCAGATCCAAAGAAGTCCGGCTACTTCTCGGCCGCCTCTTATCGGAGAGGGAGAGCAGAGACTCGCTTCTGAACCACATCAGCACCTCCCATGGACGTCATGTCGCGGTCATCAGTGATTACAAGAATAGTCTCTCCAACGGACAGCAAGACAGGATCGAACTTCCAAACGACGAGGAGGTCCTCATCAAGTATCTTTTGTGGCTGATGGACCCAAGGGTCTGGGAGATTGTCACGGGGGGAAAACCTCACGGGTTCCTGTTCTGCAAGCGGAATGGGGACTCCTTTGAGGATGCACGTGATTGGACTGCCTATATATCCGGCATCGTCGAGCAGCGCTCTGGCATATCGAACATCGGCCCCAACGCATTGCGGCATGCGTTTGCCACGTTCATCGAATCATCAGACGGGGAGGATCAACAGCGTTTGAGAGAATCGGCTAGCAGCGCGATGCGGCACACTGTCAGGTATGGATTTGGAGGCAGACCATCAGAGGAGGGTCCGGATATCTCTCGCCGCGTGGCTAATCTTCTGCTGCTTATTAGGATGCAACAATCGGTGTACAACAACGTCTGATCGTTGGGTTGGAAACAAAAGGCTGTGGAGTTTGCAACAAACGGATTCAAATGGGTCGTGCTTGGGTCACCTGATGGGGGGAGCAGTAGTTTGTCGATGCCCGTCTTGCCCGCGATAGACTCGGTGGTTGGGTTCTGGAACAACCACGGAAACCCTGGGTTTGGCAAGGTCGTACGAACCGAAGGAGGGACCGATGCACTCTTGATGGCATTGAAGCCCTCGGAAAGGACGCATGCTGATGGCCCCTTGCTCAGTCCGGACGCCAAGGAGGTGGTTCGTAAGAGGATCCCGCAAGAGATTGCGTGGCCAATTGATTACCTTACCAGCGGAGGGGATTATCTAGTGCGCACCTCGCTGGATGCGCTCAAGCATATGCTGGAGGCAGAGCGGTGAAAAGTTTCAGTATAAGTGGCCGTAAAGAGAAAAATGTGTTACAGCTTTCATCCAATCAAAGCGCAGATGTCGTCACTTTCCTTTGGTTGGGGAAGAGGAAACAGCGGCCCGCGATGGCTATAAAGGCCAGGCGTGGTCGGCAACGCCCCTCTTCTTCCCAAAGTCTTTCAGCCCCACTTGGCGACGTTCGCTGCAGTTGGTCACAGTTCGCCGAGCACATTTGCCCTGATCCCCCGCCAACCGTTACCAACGGATATCAAAGACAATGGCCAAGCTCACACGTGAGGTGAAGGACCTTGTTGAGGACCACACCAAGGAGGGTCTTCTCCGCCTCTGCGAAAAAAACAAGGTCAACCACGCTACCGGCTGAACCAAAGAGCGCCTTGCGCAAGCCATCGTTGACCAGAAGGCCGGCATCGAGACGATGGTCGGCACCTCTACCTCTTGCAAGCCACGATCGGTCAAAGCGGGGTTCATCGAGACCGTCGACCGAAACGGAGTCATCGTCATTGATGACCGTGAGAACGGCTATCGTTGCCGGATCAACAAGAAGCTTAAGTCCGGGGCCCTTGTGTCATCCGTTATCATCCCAGATGCCACGGGATCGATCAGGATCGAGAAGCGGGTGCACAAGAAGCACCGGAAGGGTTTTGAGCGACGGGGGCAAATTGAGCACCATTGAGGCTACGATGTTTCAGACAGGGAGGGAGTCTCGCAACGCGTTTGCGGGGTTGATGCAGGTGTTTGGTGAGGGACACATGGCAATCCGTGGCAGTGGTAGGCAGGCGATCGGAGCGGAGAGCAAGAAGCGGATTTGACCGGTGGCAAGTGAGAGCGAGAGCGAGAGCGAGACGGATGGCGGCGAGTGTGAGGATTGTAGTAGCGGGGAGGAGGGTGAGAGTGAGAGCGATTAGGGGTTGGTTTGTTATAGTGATATAATGATATGATGTCTGTAGGGCTTATAGGACTTGGCCTTGAAGAAGTTTTGAGGCTCGCAACCGAAGGGCCCTTCCGGAGTCAAATCAGCTGAAGAAGAGGTGTCCTCAGAATGATTTCTTTCCCGCTCTTACTCAATACCTGACAACAGACTGAAGAATCTCGGTGTCGGAGTTGGTGGCGTTCCGGCGGAGATCGCACTTTAACCGCAAGAGTGCCAGAGGGTGGATGCGGGCACAAAAAAGGGGCGTTGTCACGCTAGTTGGGTCAGTCCTTATAGAGATATCTCAAACTGGCGTGACAACACCCTTTTTTCTGACGACCAAAGCCCCCCTCTCTGGTTCTATCAAAAAAGATGCAAGGTTTGTGGTCGTTGGCGGGAGCGACAACAGGTTTGATCAACCAAGCCTAGCAAGACTTGACAAACATCGCTACCACAACGCTCTGTCGAATCATGTCAGTTACTGCGGAGCGTTTACTGTCGGACACAGCATATGATCCAGGGGTACAGGAGTCTAGCGCGCATCCTTCATGATCCGGTTTCATTCAGTCTCCACGCCCCTCAAGCACAAGGTACTTTAGCACCTCCATCTTTCCCAGTATTCGACGGTCATAACTACGCGCCCCACAGACTTTTGGGCGCGCAGGGGTTGTTGGCCCATAGAAGCTTCTCGGATTCGTGGTTTGTAATTTGCTTCTGACCCACAGGGGCAGCAATCAGAATTGACAGATCTGCGGCGGGTCAGAGAACCTCGCTTTGAACACATCAAACTCCCGGGAGAGTATATAAAGAGCTGGGCTTAGAACTCTTCTCGCCCCCTCGGAAACGGATTGATAAAGAACGGCTTTTCCAACCAGACAGTAACTGTTCGTAGACACAAAATCCTTCCAGCACAGTCCCCAACGATCTTTCACCGTACACGTCGTTGATTGGCATGACAAAGAAGAACAAGTCGCTTGCCTTCTCCCGCCCTTTTGGCTTCTTCATGCTTCATGGCTGATGCAAGCCTTTGACTTCACATGAAACCCATCGATATGAGCCGAACTTAGCGCTGTGCCAGACTTTCTCCGCCAGTACCGAAGAGATTGGCAGATCGCTCCTGCTGTCATGGGATGAGGGGTGAACCCGGCTCTATCCCGCGCTTCGATTTGGTGGCGGAGAATTACCTTCGAAATTCTAAGAAGCACCCGTGCGTTAAGGTTCTTAATCCCTAAGAGACAGATCATCAAATCATTCTCTTCTGCTGGTGGCCTTCCCGCAGGAATGATGACTCTTGAATGGTCTTCTATCCTTCAAAGTTCAGGAAGTCGTACGGCCAGACTCACCCTCTATGGCGACGAACTATCGGTCTAATATGAGAAACGCCGAACGCGTCACAGATACCCTATGCTACGATAGGTCCCAGCGCAGGCGAACCTTCGATTACAGACAGAGGAGCGAAATGTGTTTCACAGCAGCGGGGGGCGCCATGTCCATCCTGAGTTGGAGAATTTCTATATAAGCTCGCCTGGGACGAAATGAAAACGCACGGCAAAAACCGACATTCTTCATCGAAGCGACCTCCAAATGGTATCTCCTCCACTCCCCAACGGGACCGACCCAATCATCCGAACATTTGCCATGCTCACCGACCAGCTCTCGGACGTAGAACTGCACCTTGATAAACTCGATGCACTACATGATCACGCACGTCATTCGGAAATGTGCAAGTTTGGGCAGCTGAACCACAAGCTGTTGGGGTGTAGGTTCCCAATCACAAGGGTAGTTGATGATGATACGTACCTCGCTGAGCGTTGTCCGGACGGCCTTCTTCTGCGATTCTGGCTCAGGTGTGCAACCGATCACATGCCGGGGCTCTGCAATGGGAACATCGACGATCAACGACACCTTACACCAGAAGAGCTCTTGAAGCTCTCAATCTTGGCGGAGCATATCACTCCCAAAACACTGGGACTCCGTTCGATGCACAACTGCATGTGCTCAGTGGCGAGGGAGAGGGAGGGGAGGGCCGCATGTGACGCACAGGCCTTTGAGGAGGTCTACCACCTGGAGGAAGGGAAGGAGGGCACGGTATACTATCTACGCAATGTAGGAACTGCCACAGACGCATCCCAGTTCGTCAGGCAAAGGGTGGAATTCCTCGGTTTGCGTGGCCATTGAGAGGACTGTATCGAGTCTCTGCGCATCATGGAGTGCGATATCATGCATATAAGAATGCATGACAAAAGTCGGCGATGGGCCAAAGGGCAGGCTTTGGAGAGCGAGCTCCTGTTGCCTCTGCACGAATGGTACATAGAACGCATAACGAAACATCCATACTTCCGCTCGCATGTACAGGAATATGGAAATGTACCGTGGTTCACCTGATAGCGTAGGAGCAGGCCTCAAATTGTTTCTGTAAGACTTCCATCTTTGTATTATACGGTGTGGAGCGTGTGATCTCAATGAAATTTAGTCTCACAGGCTCTCTAGATCCATCTTTTAATTTTGATTCTCGATGCGGGATTCCAGTACCGGTTTTCTCCAAACACGATCGCGCTTCATCTAGCCAAAGTAGTCCAAAGGCTGCAACCTTTGATCCTTGGTTTAATTCCAACCTATGCGTGCACTTCTTGATCAAGGGCGGATTGCACGTGCCCCATATGGTGATGTCCAGGCCTCGAAGGGCCACTCTGGGAGCGGCTCTGATTGAAGCGCCCCAATATGTGTCTTATACCCTGCCCCATTCGTGCCGAAACTTCTTTGGCACTGCGTGCAACAGGTTGTATAGAAGGGCACCCACTGGAGCCGGGAAGCAGTCGGCAGGATATACGAAAAGCCCTCTTCAAGTCTTCTGTGAACAGAGTTGAGCATGGGTTTGCGTCCATTGCGGTCTTGGGCAGCACATCCTGAGCACAGAAAGGAACGAGGTTGCGCGCCGTGAAGGTGACTTCCTATGGGTGAAGTATTTGACTATTTCCTTTTCCCCCATCCATCATCACCAATTGAAGATGTGGGAGACGCGCTGTCGATAATTTTTCAACTAATTATGTAATCGCTAATGGATCCCTACTGGACAACACGGTATCGCTGTCAGTTTGTTGTCAGCCGCGCAAGGTTATAAGGGCAACGTTTCAACTGGTTGTAGGCAAACCACCAGAACAACATGGCAACCACCTGTGTACACCAACAAGAGCTAGTGCGTTTCCAGCAAGTCATGGACAGCGACATGAAGAACCACACGGATGAGCACGCTCGCGATTCAATCCGTGCACAATTCATCCACACGTCCGGACGATCCAAGGGTTGCACCTGCGTCTACTTCCAGACCTTCGCCAGCCATGACAGCACCAGGCTCGGCGAAATCAGTCGGCGCGTACTAGCCGGCGAGGACACGTCCGAAAGCGACATTGATCTTCTTTTGGGAGCCATCCATTGCGCGCAACTGAGTAAAGCACTGGTTGAGGACTTCGAGGGTGTCGTGAGCAAATGGAGGGAGTTCCTGGGAAGCGTTGATTACAAGCTTTAGCTCATATTAACCGGTTGTTCCAAAATATATCCAGCTGACCTCCTTCGCTTGGCCTCCGGATCGGCAGGGAGTCAACCCATCTTGCATCCCTTGAACCGACCGAGCATCTTCAGTTGTTCTACAGGCAGAAAATCCTTGACCCTTTCTTTCCCCCTCCCTTTCCCGGAAAAGTCCACCTTTTTTTGCCATAACGATCACCGACCGGGTATCCTCGTTCACTTTGCTCGTCCAGACGCCGGCAATGGGAGTCTGGGTAACCGGCGTCGGACCACCACCCATGGGCGGAACCTTCCAACCGTTCATGTTTGCAGGTTTCGACGTCATGATGGCCTTCGGCAACGCCTCCCGCTTGATACTGAAAGGCACCAGTTTCTTATAACCTGTATTGTCACCTTTGACGACCAGCCGGTGAATCGTGTCTGGACATAAGCCCAGCTGCTGTGAGAGTCCCTGTAGCGTGTTTGCAGTGAACACTGCTTGCACGTCACGGGTCGGGAGAGAGAGCACCGCCGTGTATTTGTAAAGAGGAACGCCCATCGCCTATCAGTTGTCTAGATAATAGGAAGGTAAAAATGATTTGCCCGCTCTGAACACATGGTGCGTCCAAAATTGATTCTTTTTTTTGGTTTCGGATATCAGTGACGAGGGCTATCTTACGAATGACGGCCGACGCCACAGCTTTTCGAAAGGCCACTTCATGGAAGATTGAATGGATCGGAAATAACAACGTTGACAAAACCGGCACACAGGATCATGTGTTACGCCATCTGACGGACGAAATGTTCCCGATCTTATCCTTCACGGCAAAGAAGGGCCGGTTGTGGTCCGCCGTCACCAGGGAACAGCTGTGCAAACTTCTCAGGTGGAAGGCCGGGATTTACAAGATTCTTGTGCCTGACCATGTGCGGAAACTCTACTTTGACGTGGACAAGGCCGAGACCCCGCTAAGCGAAATCAAGAGGGTCATACTCGGGGAGTTTCAAAATGCCCGACTCCAGATATCGGGCAGAGAAGGGTCCTGGCACATCATCCTTTCAAATTACTACGCGCAAAACCTGGAGGCTATGGGACCCGTTGTGCGTTTCGTCCATCAATACAAAGAGCTAGGATTTGACACCCATGTCTACACGAAAAATCGAAACTTCAAGTGCATCAACCAGGCGAAGCCCAATCAACCCAGGCAAGCTTACATCGAGGGAGACGCGGAATGGTCAAAGCATCTAGTAATGCACGATTTTGACGACCATGCTGTTGATATTGCGACGCTCTCTTTTCCCATGCTTCCAGAACTCGCCACGAAACGGCGAGACGGCTCCCCTGCCACCAAGTTAAGCATCCTGGCTTTGCCAAAGAAAACGCTCAAAGTCCCCACCGATTTCGGTTGGCTCACCGCAGAACCTCTCGGCAAACTTGCCATCTTGCCCTGCGCCAAGCGGGCGGAAGACGGCTTTCTTCGGCACGACATTATCTGGCGTGTCATGCTCTGGTGTTGGGACGTTGGAATTGACTATGAATGTTATGATCTCGACGACGGGGGCGGAAGCGAAGTAGAGAAGACAGGGCGAGTGTGATAGGCGACAAGAGATTGTATTGGCGAAACAAGAACCAGGGACTAGAACAGGAGATGAGAAGAACTGGTGTTGATCTGCTGGGGAGGAAGGGAATGGACGAAGAGAGGCCAGCTATTTATAGATAGGCAACCCAGCAGATCAGAGAACAACAACAACAAGAGGGGACTGGGGGGCGCCAGCTATGCTCCTAGAGCGTGCGTGGCGAGCGTAGAGAGCATTGCTACAGCTGCTGGCTATGGGGAAGCAGTGGGGGTGTGGAGAAGCCAAGGGGGGATTGGCGAAATGAAAGGAGAGAGGAGGAGTGGCAATATTGCAAGAGGATTGGCGAAATGAGAGGAGAGAGGGGGAGTGGCGATATTGCAAGAGGATTGGCGAAATGAGAGGAGAGAGGGGGAGTGGCATTGACATTGACATTGACACTGACGTTGACACTGACATTGACATTGACATTGGCGTTGACACTGACATTGACACTGACATTGACATTGACATTAGCGTTTGACATTTGGCGGTTGACATTGGCGGCTGTCAGTAGGTAAGCTTATGGTATGGGCGCGTCGTCCATAACATCACCCCTCTCTTTTAGCGGCGGCGGCGGCGGCGTCGGGTTTGGTGTGGCCGCAGAGGAGGTGCTACGGGGACAGAGGAAGGCTTGTTGGGGTACGCGCTGTGGAAGTCCTGGAGGAGTGCGTCTGTATGGGTGAGATGTTCCACGGGCTCCCAGGTGTTCTCGGAGTCAGGCCAGCCCTGCCATTTGACCAAGTACTGCAGGCGACGACAATGGATGCAAGAGTCAAGGATGGCTTCGACAGCCCACTCTTGTTGACCCTCAACGGTCTCTGGGGGCACGGGTTCGGGTTCGTGTCGTTCGGGGATGGTGAAGCGGGGTTCGAGGAGCGAGACATGGAAGACATCGTGGATTTTGTACGTAGGCGGGAGCTTGAGCCGGTAGGCGACGGGATTGATTTTTTCAACGATGGGGAATGGCCCAATCTTGCGATGGTCGAGTTTCTGAGAGGGCCGGGTTGTCTGGAGGTTTTTGCGGAGGAGCCAGACGTGGTCGCCAGGCTTGAAGTCTGGTCCAGGAATTCGTTTAGCGTCGGCGTAGCGCTTCATTTGATCTTGGGCTTCCTTGAGCTCAAGGGCGAGCTGTTCATGGACTTCCCTGATTTGTTTAGCGCGGGCTTCAGCGGCGGGGTTGACGGATTCGGAGGTAGCAGAGGCCGCGAAACTGAAGCGGGGGTGGAGACCCTTGTTGGCGTAGAAGGGGGTGGTCTGGGAGGCGGACTGGTGGGTGTTGTTGTAGGCGAACTCGGCGGACGACAGAAGCTGTTTCCAGTTGTCCTGTTGGTGGTTGCAAAAGCATCGGAGATACTGTTCCAGGATCTGGTTGGTGCATTCCGTCTGGCCATTGCTCTGGGGGTGGAAGGCCGAGGAGAGGTTGGCTTTTGCCCCAAGGAGTTCGAGAAGTAGACGCCAGAACCGGGACTTAAACTGGGGTCCTCGGTCAGAGATGACGTCGTCGGGGAGGTCGTGGAGACGGATGATGTTGTGGAAGACTAGGTCGGCGGTGGATTCGGCGGATTCTGACTCGCTGCAGGCGATGAAGTGGGCCATCTTGGTGAGGCGACGGTTGACGTTCAGGATGGAGTCGTACCGGTCCACGGGGGGCAGACCGGTGATAAAGTCCAGGGGCCAAGATCCCCAAGGGCGGGTAGGGATATTGTTGGGCTGGAGTAGGCCGTACGGTTTGTGTCGACTGGATTTCGCTCGGCTACAGGTATCGCAGGACTTGACGTAGGCCTTGATGAAGCGCCACTAGCTGGGCCACCAGTAGTTGCGGGAGGCGAGTTCGAGCGTCTTGGACATCCCAAAGTGGCCGGCTAGGGGTGTATTGTGCATGTCGTGGCAGACTTCAGCTCGGAGCTCGTTGGTGGGGACATAGACCAGGTTACCGTGCAGCAGGATCCCATCTTCATCTGAGAACCGCTTGATACGATCTTGGGTTTCCTCGGTTCGTTGGGCGAGGGGTATCTTGAGCTTTTCGCGAATGGTCTTAGCGAGGGGATCAGAGGCCTGGGCGGCCTTAATCTTGTCAAGCAGCGTGGTATCCATGGGTGTGAGGTAGGCCGCGGCGAGTCGAAGGCGTTTGGGAGTCAAAATTGTGGTTGCCTGGGAGCGGGACGCTTCTTCCCCCTTTTTAGCTCATGTTCGGAGCGTCGGGAGAGGGCATCAGCTTGGTGCTGCTGGGAACCGGGGCGATAGGTAATGACGAAGTCAAAATCCGAGAAGAATATCGACCAGCGGGCTTGGCGGCGGTTCAGGGTGCGGGTGGTCATGAAGTACTGAAGGTTTTGTGGTCGGAGTAAACGGTGATCTTGTGACGGGCGCCAATGAGATGGTGTCGCCACTGGGCAAAGGAGTCTTGGATGGCCAGAAGTTCCTTGTCGTAGATCTCGTAGTTGATCTCTTCGGCCGTGAATTTGCGAGAGTGGAAGGCCACGGGGTGGAGCTGATTGTCCTGGTCAGGTTGGAGGAGAACTGCGCCGAGAGCGAAGTCGGAGGCGTCAGTTTCGACGACGAAGGGCTTCTCTGGGTCAGGGTGAGCAAGGATGGGGGCGGTGGTGAATGCTTTCTTCAGGTTCTCGAAGGCGGTGTTTGCGGCGGGTGTCCAGGCGTACGGGATGTCTTTCCGGGTCAGGGCTGTGAGCGGGGTAGCGATCTTGGAATAACCTTGGATGAATCGGCGATAGAAGTTGGCAAAGCCGAGGAACCGCTGGACACCTTTGACCGTTCTTGGGAGGTTCCCAATCCGTGATGGCAGCGATCTTCTTGGGGTCCATCTGGATGCCTTTCTCGGAGATGATGAAGCCTAGGAACTCAACGGATTCGCGGTTGAATTTGCACTTCTCTGGTTTGGCGTACAACCCATGCTGTCGGAGGCGGGACAAGACTTCGCGGACATGTTTGGGGTGATCTTCGGGGTTCTTGGAGAATATCAGGATATCGTCGAGGTAGACGACAACAAACACATCGAGAATGTCGCAGAAGATGTCGTTCATCAGGTACTGGAAGACGCCAGGAGCATTGCTGAGTCCAAAGGGCATGACATTGTATTCGAATAGGCCGTAGCGGCAGCGGAAGGCGGTCTTCCATTCATCGCCCGGGCGCATGCGTAAGAGGTTATAAGCGCCGCGGAGGTCGATCTTGGTGAGACGGCGGGCGCCGCGCAAACGATCCATGATACCGTTGATCAGGGGCAGGGGGTAGCGATTCTTCACCGTGATGCTGTTCAGGCCTCGATAATCGATGCAGAGGCGGAGAGAACCGTCCTTTTTCTTCACGAATAAGACTGGCGCACCGGCAGGGGACTTTGAGGATTTGATGAATCCTTTGGCGAGGTTTTCTTCGAGGTATTCGCAGAGTGCCTTCATTTCTGGTTCGCTGAGGCTGTAGATCGGGCCGGAAGGTGGCTGCTTGCCTTCTTCCAGATCGATTGGACAGTCGTAGGGCCGGTGCTCGGGGAGAGTGTCAGCCTTTCTCCTTTCGAAAACGTCGGCGAAGTCTTGATTCTCGGGGGGCAGGAAGTCTTTGATGTCTTTCTCGGGTGTCAGGGGGGTTACTAGGGCTAGGCGAGGCCGGGAGATCGGGTTTCGCAGGGTTGGCGTAGGCGACAAAGACCTGGTCATGCCTTGCTGCGACCCGGAAGGCTGGGGCGGAGATGAACGAGACTCGGAGCGGCGTGGGAGCCGGTTCTGGGGTGCTGGAGCGAGATACCTTGGGTACTGGAATCGACCATGCTTTGTCGACGGGGACTTCATCCTGGGGGATGCGGATCAAGGGCTCGGGGGCTTCTGGCGGGTGCTGGGCTCGGGGGTGCTGGAGAGTTGTCCCAATTCGCGAATTCATGGTACTGGCAGTCGCAACGGAAACGGACCGAAAGGTTCTTGAAGTCAAGGTTAATGTCGTGGAGGCGGAGCCAGGGGAGACCAAGGAGGATTGGAGCATGGGGTGATTTGGTGACATGGAAGACGAGTTCTTCGAAGTGGTCATCGACCCACATGCCTACTGGTTGGGTGTGATGGGTGATTGGCCCAGCAGAGCTGGGTTGACCGTCAACGAGTTCGATGGTCAGTGGACGCTGATGCGGGACTAGGGCGATGCGGTGTTTGCGGGCAAAGTCTCTGTCGATGAAACAGGACAGGGCACCGTTGTCGATCATGGCTGAGGTAGGTATTGGGGCGCGGCTGGATGATACCATGATGGTAACGGGGTAGTTGAAGGGTTCGACGGGACCCAGCGCAAGCATGGCGCGGGGGTTAATTTCGGAGTTTTCGACATGGGCAGTGGCTAGGAGGGTTGTGTCGGCTATAACGGAGTCGGGAACCAGGGGAATGGCCTCTCCCGTTGCAGGAGCTGCGAGATTAGGAGGCCCGGGGCGGTGTGTGTTGTCCAGTCGCTGGGGCTTTACTGCGGCTGGACTTTGGGAAAACCCTGTTCGGTGGAGGGTTCTTGAATGTCGACGTTGGCGGCACGGGTGGTGGTCTTGTTCCTGACGGGGCAGACTTTTGCAATGTGCCCCGCGCCACTGCAGTAAAGGCAGAGGTTGTTGGAAATGCGGCGTTGGCGTTCCTGAGGGCTCAGAGGGCCGCGGGGACGAGCGGCGTCAATCTTCATAGGCTCGCTGTGGTCGACAGTGGTGGTAGTAGTAAACGAGGTGTGGGGAACCGGGACGGTCTGGCGGCTTCTGTTTCGCTCCAGGCGGCGCTCAAACAGTCGGTTATCGCACTGGATAGCCTGCTCCATCACCACATCAATGGTGGCCGCAGGGGGCATTGTGAGCATCAGGTCTTTGACGTCTTCTTTGAGGCCACGGCGGAAGGTAGCAATCAGGGCCGGGTAGTTCCAGGAGACATCGCATTGTAGCTGGCGGAACTCAGCGACGTACTCGGTTGCTGCACGGGTTTGGCAAAGGTTCTGGAGCTTGTTTTCAGAGGTGCGGAGCCTGTCGCTGTCTCCGAAGACCGATTGCATCTGACTGATAAAACTATCGAAGTCCTGAAGGCTGTGATCTTGGCGTTCAACTAGGGGCGCCATCCAGGCTTGTGCAGTGCCGGTGAGGTAGGTGCCAATAGTTTGGATCTTGATGATGTCGCTGGGGTAGCGGTCGGGCTGGAGAGCAAACATCAACCGGATGTTGTTCAACCACCCACGGAATTTGCTGCGGGTACCATCAAACTTCTCGGGCGAGCTGATTCTTGGCTCCAAAGCAGGGTTGGCGACTTGGGGACGGGTGTACGTATCGGCTTGAAACTGGGCGGCGATGCTCTGAGCAGCTTGTGCGTCGGCTTGGGCTTGCGCTAGGTTAGCCTGCAAGTTGGCGTTTTGGCTTTGCAAGGCGGCGATGGCTTGGCACATATCGTTCCATTGCTTGGCGGTGAAAGGTACGGATTCGGGTTGGGACATGGCGAAAAAGGTTTGTCGGATGCAGGGCTGGACCGGTTCTGAACTTTGCAGTGTTGGAGCAGATCAAACTGTTATGATCTCGACAACGGGGGCGGAACCGAAGTAGAGAAGACAGGGCGAGTGTGATAGGCGACAAGAGATTGTATTGGCGAAACAAGAACCAGGGACTAGAACAGGAGATGAGAAGAACTGGTGTTGATCTGCTGGGGAGGAAGGGAATGGACGAAGAGAGGCCAGCTATTTATAGATAGGCAATCCAGCAGATCAGAGAACAACAACAACAAGAGGGGACTGGGGGGCGCCAGCTATGCTCCTAGAGCGTGCGTGGCGAGCGTAGAGAGCATTGCTACAGCTGCTGGCTATGGGGAAGCAGTGGGGTGTGTGGAGAAGCCGAGGGGGGATTGGCGAAATGAGAGGAGAGAGGAGGAGTGGCAATATTGCAAGAGGATTGGCAAAATGAGAGGAGAGAGAGGGAGTGGCAATATTGCAAGAGGATTGGCGAAATGAGAGGAGAGAGGGGGAGTGGCATTGACATTGACATTGACACTGACGTTGACACTGACATTGACATTGACATTGGCGTTGACACTGACATTGACACTGACATTGACATTGACATTGGCGTTTGACATTTGGCGGTTGACATTGGCGGCTGTCAGTAGGTAAGCTTATGGTATGGGCGCGTCGTCCATAACAATGAAGACTTCTGGGCTTGGGTTCAGCAAAAGGATTCGAGCGTGACGTACTTCAAAAAGCAACAGGAAGCCTGGCGCGGCTGTGGTCAGTACGGCCTGTCGCGCTCTTTCCTTGACCATCTCCTGGTCCAGTTCTTCCCGAACATCAAGGAAACAAAAGTCACTCTGCGCCTCCGAGACCAATTCGAACTATTGGAGGATCGAATTGCGGAAGGCGTGCACGACGGTTCCATGACTTCAGAGATATTTCACCTCCAAAGGTCGCACCGATTGACCCAAAAGGCGTCAGACGATTCTTTCCGCAGGCAGAGGGGACGAGACCATCGGTCAAGTTTTCCGTTCACTGGGCCTATGGGAAGCGGGAAAACCGAAGCCGTTGTCGCATTCATCAAGCGATACGGCATCGGCAAGCGTGTCTTGTGGCTAGCTCCACGGATCACTCTTAGCGCCAACACGGAACAGAGGCTAGAGGAGGCCGGGATCTCTTTTATCAACTACACGAAGATCACCGTAGAGCAAAAGCGGGTGGGGGCGCTAGACCAACGACCTTATGTTATCTGCTCGATCCAGTCGCTTCACTACCTCTCAAAGCCCTTTGATATTGTCATTGGCGATGAGATCAAAACGATCTTGAACACATTCGGAGGCGGTGCCAATATGCATTACAATCTCAACACGAACTGGGTGGCCTTTAATAGCGTCATAGATAACGCCGCCAAAGTCATTCTCATGGATGCGTTGACAAAGAAGGCGACGACAAACTTAGTGAAGGGCTTCATACGAAAGACGTCGAGCAACATCAGCGATCACCTGGAGGTATTCAAAACGGCAAGGCAGCCAACATCTCGCACGTTACGTATTGTGGCTCCCGACGACACACCCCGCGCGTTTGACAACTGGGTGGCCATGATGTATCAAGCCCTTGAGGTGGGGGAAAAGCTTTACGTCTTCACCCCCTTCAAGAAAGGGAAACAGGGGATCAACACCATCACTCAGGTACTGTTGAAGGCGTTCGATTGGACAGACAAGTGGGAGGTTCTCAGTTACTATGCTGAGGAGGAGCAGGAAAAGCAGGACCTATGCGATGCAAACGTGATATGGGGCCGAAATGAAATGCGTTGCATTGTCACGAACAGCGCGATATTGGTCGGCGTAAACTTTGACAGGAAGGACGTTTCCGATCAAATATTCTGTCTATACGCGCTCATCCTCCCGTCCCGAGACTTCCCCCAAGCGCTCTATCGCGTCCGCCACCCAAAATTGTCCAACATGATCACATGCTTTCATTTGTTTGAAGGCCTAGGCCGCGTCAGCGATGGTCAAAGGCGTCCCAAGTGCATGGTTTTCGAGCAGCTCATTGACGATTTGGAAATCAAGCGCCTCGCCGGCTTGAACAACTCTAATCTCGACACGCTCAAGTTGTTCTGTGAGATTGCCAACATCGGGATTGCCCCTCTGGACCTGTCGGAGGTGATTACCGAAAGCAAGTTCCGTCTCAAAAAGCTCGCAAAGGTGTTATGGACGACGCGTCCATACCATGCGCTTACCTCATGACAGCATCCCAACAGTCAGTCAATGTCAATTCCCTGTCAAAACCTGACATCTGCCAAACATCGCAGCCGCACGCAGCCGCGCTACCCCACACCTGCCACTGCCTTCATTTCTCCCCACAGCCTCAGCGTAGCCACCCCATCCCCAGTCTTCTGTTTCCATACTTCCCCACGTACCCGCCCACAGCCTCAGCGTAGCCACCCCATCCCCAGTCTTCTGTTTCTATGCTTCCCCACCCTTGGCGCTTCTCTTGGCTTCCCTCTGATTCCGTACCCTTCTGCTTCCCCACGCTTCCCCAGCCTTCCCAGAAAAACATAAATAGCCGCCTCCCCTGAGCTCCCCACTTCCTGATCCCCCAGCAGATCAACACCAGTTCCTCCTAGTCTTGTTCTAGTTCTTGTTTCGGTCTGAACACCATTACCTGTCAACAACCTGCACCACAAGTCGCCTCTATTTCCGTCGGCTCCGCCCATTCTTAACAGTTTGATCTGCTCAACAACCCTCAGCCGCTGTGCCTCCACGCCAAATCACCATGTCCGACGCCCTTCCCCTCACGGCCGAAGCCTGGCAAGCCATGTGCAATGCGATTGACGAACTTCGAGCGCAGAATACCACCCTACAAGCCGAACTAGCGCAAACCCAGACCACTGCCCCTGCCACCCACGCCCCCGAACCCAAAATCAGTCTCCCAGACAAATTTGATGGCACCCGAAGCAAGTTCCGTGGGTTCCTCAACCAGATCCGGCTCATGTTCGCCCTCCAACCCAGGCGCTACCCCAACGATCAGACCAAGATACGAACTATTGGCACCTACCTCACTGGCACCGCCCAGGCCTGGCTGGCGCCCCTTGTCGAACAAGACCATCTTTCCCTTACGAACCTGGATGATTTCATCCAGCAAATGCAAGCAGTCTTTGGAGACAGCGACAGGATCCGCACGTCCGAAAACAAGCTCCAGAACCTTCGACAAACCCGTGCAGCAACAGAGTATGTAGCTGAATTCCGACAGCTGCAATGCGATGTGTCGTGGAATGACCAGGCATTGATTGCCACCTTCCGTCGCGGCCTCAAAGAAGACGTCAAGGACTTAATGCTCACGATGCCCCCTACCGCCTCAATCGACACCGTGATGGAACAGGCCATCCAATGTGACAACCGATTGTTTGAGCGCCGTCTAGAGCGAAGCAGGAACCGACAGCCCTATGTGCCAGTTACCACTAGCCCCACCCTCATGGGCCCCGACAACCGCCCAGACGACCCTATGATCATTGACGCTGCTCGTCCGTGAGGACCCCTCACACCGCTAGAGCGCCAACACCGCATCACAAACAAACTTTGCCTCTATTGTGGTAAACCTGGCCACATAGCCAAACTCTGCCCGAACAAGATACGCACGGCGAATGTCGCGGTTAAGGAACCTGCACCCATCCAGGATTTTGCCCAAGTCCAGCTGCAGTAAAGGCCGAGCAGCTGGGCAATACCTGTCCTGGGCCTTCTCACCACGCAAGTACTGCCAAGGGAGAAGCCACAAAACCTTGCTCCGATCCTGGCATCTCCAGCAACACCCTTCTCCTGACCACCAACAATGTCAATCTCCTATCTGAGATACCCTCACCCATGCGGACTTTGGGCCCATCCTCACCATTCTAGTACCCTGTTACCCTGCAGATATCGGCCCAGCGTGCTCCAGTTCAGCTTTCAGCACTACTCGACACCGGTGCGATGTTGTGCTTCATCGACGAAAGTTATGCCCGCAAGCACCGCATCCCACTTGTCAAGAAGGAGGACCCCATTGCGCTTGAACTGGTTGACGGACGTCCCAGCCATGCGGGCTCCATTACCCATCACACCCAACCTTTGGGCATGTGGGTCAACGACCATTTTGAGGAGGTGGTATTCCATGTGACATGTTCCCCGCATGCACCAATCATCCTGGGGCTTCCCTGGTTTGAGCTCCATGATGTGGAGCTACATTGGAAGACTCGCACTCTTTGCGTCCGCTGCCATTGCGGTTTTGGACAATACGCCTCCTGGGATGTCCGGCCAACAGAACCTAGCCTGAAGCCCTCAAGAACCCCTGAACCTCTGATCCGTATCCATCAAGACGAGATTTCAGTCTCCCTAGCCCAGACACCCAACACACTGGACCCAGCACCCACACCGATCCACGTATCGTTTAACAGCGCCCCAGCTTTCCGTGTGGCGGCAAGGCATGACCAGGCATTCATTGCCTACGCCAATCCAACCAAGTCAGATTCCCAAGCCCTGGCGACCACTTCTCCAAAAGATCCGAAGGCCATCATTCCTGAAGAATACCAAGATTTTGCGGACGTCTTCGCCAAGAAGAACGCGGATACCCTCCCAGAGCACCGACCCTACGGCTGTCCCATCAACTTAGAAGAGGGCAAACAGCCACCGTTCGGCCCGATCTATAGTCTCAGCAAGCCTGAAATGCAGGCACTCTGTGACTACCTTGAAGAGAACCTAGCTAAGGGGTTCATCAAGCACTCCAAGTCTCCCGCCGGTGCCCCAGTCCTCTTTGTCAAGAAAAAGGACGGTTCCCTCCGTCTGTGCGTCGACTATCGTGGACTCAACAATATCACCATCAAGAATCGCTATCCCTTGCCCTTGATTAACAGCATCATGGATCGTCTTCAAGGGGCACGCCGGCTCACCAAGATTGACCTCCGGGGAGCCTACAACCTTCTTCGGATCCGGCCAGGGGATGAATGGAAGACAGCGTTCCGATGTCGCTACGGCCTATTCGAGTATAATGTCATGCCGTTTGGGCTCACCAATGCCCCTGGAGTATTCCAACACCTCATGAACGACATATTCCGTGACATTCTCGACGTTTTTGTTGTGGTCTACCTTGACGACATTCTGATCTTCTCAAAAAACCCAGAAGACCACCCCGATCACGTCCGAGAGGTGCTCTCACGGCTCCGCCAGCACGGGCTGTATGCGAAACCGGAAAAATGCGAATTCAACCGTGACTCTGTTGAGTTCCTGGGGTTTATCATCTCCCAGCAAGGCATTTCCATGGACCCAAAGAAGACGGCTGCCATTACCGAATGGGAACCCCCGACGAATGTCAAAGGCATCCAGCGCTTCCTTGGTTTTGCCAACTTCTACCGGACGATTCATCAAAGGGTACTCTGCGATCGTTGCACCCCTGACCACGCTCACTCGCAAAGACTTGCCATTCAAATGGACCCACGCTGCACACCTAGCTTTTGAAACCCTCAAGAAAGCCTTCACCTCCGCACCTATCCTGACTCACCCCGACCCTGACAAGCCCTTCATTGTCGAATCCCATGCCTCCGACTTTGCCCTTGGCGCCGTCCTCCTTCAACCGGATGACACAGATCAACTCCACCCCGTGGCCTTTCACTCCCGCAAATTTACTCCTGAGGAAATCAACTATGAGATCTACGACAAGGAACTCCTGGCTATCCAAGACTCATTTGCTCAATGGCGACACCACCTCATTGGTGCCCGCCACAAGGTCATCGTTTACTGTGACCACAAGAACCTCCAGTACTTCATGACTACCCGTACCCTCAACCGCCGCCAATCCCGCTGGTCAATCTTCTTTGCTGATTTCGACTTTGTCATCACATACCGCCCTGGTACCCAGCAACACCAAGCTGACGCCCTCTCTCGTCGCTCTGAATACGAGCTAAGGGAGGGGGAAGAAGCATTCCGCTCCCAGGAAACCACGATCCTCACCCCTGACCATCTCCGCCTGGCCGCCACTTATCTGACCCCACTGGACTCCTCGCTCCTTGACCAAATCAAAGCTGCCCTGGCATCCGATGTGTTTGCGCAAACCATCCGGCGACAGCTTAGGGCCCCCATTGCCCAGCAATCTCAAGAAGACCAAGAACGGATAAAGCGATTCTCCGAGGAAAATGGGGTTCTGCTGTACGACAACCTTGTCTACGTCCCCACCAACAAGCTCCGTGCTGAGATCTGCCGGGACATGCATGACACGCGTTTGGCAGGACACTACGGCATGTCAAAGACCCTGGAGCTCATCTCACGCAACTACTGGTGGCCTAGCCAGTGGCGTTTTGTCAAGTCCTACATCAGGTCCTGCGACGTATGTGCTCAAGCCAAGACCAGCAGACACAAGCCCTACGGTCTCCTCCAACCCCTGCAGGTCCCTGACCGCCCCTGGGGGTCAATTTCCATGGACTTCATCACGGATCTACCCGCCAGTAATGGGGTTGATTCTGTGCTCGTTGTCATCTGCCGGTTCACCAAGATGGCGCACTTTGTACCGTGCAGGAAAACTGCCACCGCTGAGTCAACTGCAGATCTGATCTGGCACCATGTCATCCGGCTCCATGGACTCCCCGATGATATTGTATCTGACCGTGGCCCACAGTTCAACTCCCACTTCTGGAAACGTCTCTTCGCTCTCCTGGGAACCAAGGTCAACCTCTCAACCGAGCGGACCAATCAGATTCTTGAGCAATACCTTCGCTGCTTTTGCAACTATCAACAAGATAACTGGAAGGAACTCTTGTCTTCTGCTGAGTTCTCTTACAATAACACCATCCACTCCGCCACCCAGACAACCCCCTTCTACGCCAACTATGGGTTCCATCCTCGATTCAGTCTGGCTTCCGCCACCACAACCGAATCCCTTAATCCTGCAGCCGAAGCTCGTGCCAACCATCTCAAGGAAATCCATGAACAGCTTGCCACTGAGCTCAAGGAGGCCCAAGGACGCATGAAGCGCTTTGCCGATGCTAAGAGGGCACCTGGCCCAGACATGAAACCTGGGGACAGTGTCTGGCTCTTACAGCGGAATCTCAAGACTCTCCGACCTTCCCAGAAACTTGATCACCGTAAGATTGGCCCCTGCACAATCACGGAGAAGATCAACTCGGTCACATATCGCCTCAAGCTTCCCCCATCCTACAAAATTCACAACGTCTTCCATGTCTCCCTTCTTGAACCACATTTCACCATTCCGGAGCGAACTGAGCCAGAACCCACCCCACCAGAAGAAGTCGAAGGACAGGAGGAATGGATTGTGGAAGACATTCTTGACTCCCGTATTCGACGCACGCACCTTCAGTACCTCATCAAGTGGCAGGGTTGGCCAAGCTCGGAGAACACATGGGAGCCAGTGGAACACCTTGCCCGATGTCAAGAGCTTGTTGCCCAGTTCCACCAAAAGTACCCCGACAAACCCCGACCAAAGCCTGCCAACATCAAAACAACATCCGGACGCCGTGGCTAAAGGACGGGGTGATGTTATGGACGACGCGTCCATACCATGCGCTTACCTCATGACAGCATCCCAACAGTCAGTCAATGTCAATTCCCTGTCAAAACCTGACATCTGCCAAACCTCGCAGCCGCACGCAGCCGCGCTACCCCACACCTGCCACTGCCTTCATTTCTCCCCACAGCCTCAGCGTAGCCACCCCATCCCCAGTCTTCTGTTTCCATACTTCCCCACGTACCCGCCCACAGCCTCAGCGTAGCCACCCCATCCCCAGTCTTCTGTTTCTATGCTTCCCCACCCTTGGCGCTTCTCTTGGCTTCCCTCTGATTCCGTACCCTTCTGCTTCCCCACGCTTCCCCAGCCTTCCCAGAAAAACATAAATAGCCGCCTCCCCTGAGCTCCCCACTTCCTGATCCCCCAGCAGATCAACACCAGTTCCTCCTAGTCTTGTTCTAGTTCTTGTTTCGGTCTGAACACCATTACCTGTCAACAACCTGCACCACAAGTCGCCTCTATTTCCATCGGCTCCGCCCATTCATAACAAAAGGATCTTGATTGCACGTTCAACTTTTCACGGATTGACATTATTGACCGGGATACTTTCCAGGATCTTTTGACCCGCATTCACGACAATTGCGGCCACCTGGACATGCGACTCAAAGCCAAGAAGTACCTTTTTAGAGAAAAGTTTGAGCACAAAGCACACAAAGGAGATCTAGCGGTGATCTGGAAGCGTGCACCACAACTGATGGACTGCGTTGATGAGTTGGCTTACGGTACGGCTACTGTTGACTGGGATTGGGATCTCGTCTCATATACTGATCCTATAGACCACATTGTCAATCAAATTCTAGCCGAGAACGGCGTCACTCTGGAGCCACGTCAAAATTTCTCCTTGCCCGATAACTTGTCCACACTGACACCTCTCGAAACGATAAAATAACAGTTTGCGTTCCATTTGCCTGTTCCAGATTACCGCTCCGGACCTGTCGCGGCCGTTCTCAATGCGTTCCAACTTCGTCTATATAAATCAAAACTGGTAAGAGATGGACTGTACCGGCGCCACATGTACAAGCCCGAGAGGGACTCCCTCACGCTCATCCAATTATGCTTGGACAATATTTGTCTGCGCGTCGAACGGGAGCCGGAGAACCATTCCGGAGTCAGGTCGATCGACAAGGTGGTGTCATCAGCATGATATGTCTCAGCTCTCACTCAATACCTGCTATAGGACCAGAATATTCTTTTGGTTCTCCAAGATGGGGTGCCCCCCCCCCCCGCGAAGACAGTACCTTGACCGCCAATGGGGCCAGTGTGTTGATGCGGGGCCAAAAAAGGGGTGTTGTCACGCTAGTTGGTGATATCTTATAAAGGACTACGAAACTAGCGTAACAACACCCCTTTTCTTTTTTTGGACGACCAAAACCACCCGCTCTGGTTTTTTAAAAAAGATGCAAGGTCCTGGTAGTTTGTCCAAGGAGTATTGGCCAAAATTACAAGCTTCCTACGCAAGGTGAAACAGGTTGTTCGTGGGATGGGTACTCAGAAGCTGGCGGGGCAACTGGCAGGGTCGACCCGGAAAGTGTGTACCAGCTCCGAGGTGGGAGTGACGCAGCGCTCGGCGCAGTGGGCACAACAGTGTAGTCACTCCCCGGTGCCGTTGGGCGAATGGAAAGTAAAACACCTTGAAGTATGCGAGAACTTGATACATTCCGATCTCAAGATGAAGGGTAAGTGGCTGGGAAACGTGCACCGTGAATGCAAATTTCCCAAAGGGCCATTGCGTGTGGTTCCAGAGGCCGTTGGGCGAGTTGCAAGAAACTATCGGATTCTGGGTGCACTACGTGTACCCCAGGGGTGCAATTGCGCGTTAGTTAGAGCTTTCGACGATAATGCAGGCGGCAAAACCCCCCTCGGTTACCTTATATACTTTGCACATCGTGCCGGAGCGAAGGCCCATCCCAAGGCAGTGCCTGGTTGGCGGTTAATTGGTAATTGACAGCATACCGTCGAGGCACACCCATAAGGCCATAAGGCTGCGGGGTTTACGCGCTGTCAAACTTGGTTTTCATCGGTCATTTCTTCTTCGGTCACGTGAACTGTGCTCATTTTTCTTCTTCGGTCACGTGTAACTACCATCTGGACTTGATTATTTCATCTCGCTTTTACGAGAGGTCGAATAACCATCCGACATCACCCAAAAAACGGAACCTTTCCGCCTCTACCAAGAATAAACCCCCGACCAACGCCCCCGCGTCTTTGGCATGCGAGATATGCGACCGTAGTCGGATATTTTTCCCTCATAAGCGCGACATATATCCGACAGGCAGTTCAGTCAGCTTCCTCGACTCCCCTCAAATCGTCTGAGAGGATGCGTGTCCGTCCCTCACCCTCCAGCCCGCGACGCAGTTGTTTCGGAAACCTCGGCGGCGAAACCGACGAGCAGGATGATCTCGGGGAAGGGGCTGCTGTAGGAAATCACCTCCGGTGTCCTCGATGGTTGAGAGGATGTCGTCCAGCGCGCGCTTCGGTGCGGACTTGTTGCGCCAGACGAAGTTGTGGGATCTCTTCATGTAGGACCTGTGATATGGTGCTATATCGCCGGTGACCATATAGTGACCAGGGTCCCGGACAAGCACTCCGTCCTGAATTGCAGCGCTAAGGCCTTCCACGATCTGACTGGGGCGAACCCCTTCGCATGCGGGGGCATCGTTCTGCTCGGAAGTGATGGTTGTCGTTGCTGACAATGTGTCGCTGAGCGCGATCAGACGCTGCTCGGTTGCCGTGTGCCGGTCCTGCTGGGCTTCCAAAATATGGTCAGTGTGATTAATGGCAGCAACCTGTGCAGCGGCGAAATGCCTTTCGTTCGTCGCCTGATTCTGGCGAGTTTCCGCCAGCAACAGGTTGTTCTGCTGCCAGATATCGCGCATCAATCCGAGGACTTCCGTAATACTCTCCGGCGGTGCCGTCGATGGGGCACCGGGTGATTCCGAACTGCGGCGAATTGGCGCGGGCTGAGTGGAACCTTCACCTTGAGGCGCAGCGGTTGTTCGCTTTCCGGACTTGCCGGGCTTTGTGGCGCGGGGCCCGATGGCGGGCGTGCCGTTTCCCTGCTCCTCGGTGTCCGCAGCAACATCCGAGGCAGGATGCGGGACGTCGTGGGTAATGGGGGCGAGGGTGTCAGTGTCAGTGTCAACCGTAGGCAAGTTGGTGATCTGTTGAAGCGGCATTTTCGGTACTGTGTGCGTATTCTGTGGAAGTGATAGGACGGCAATGGATTGGCAACCAAAGCAATGCCCGAGAATTCGGAAGTCAGTGTGCAGCCCGATATGCCCATCGACGAGCAGCCTGCCTATACGCAAGGTAGGAAGCCAGAGCAACAAGCCACTAGCCTCATACATACATGGTAGGTGCGTTGATTCTTGTGAGTCGACACAGATGATTTCCTGAATCAATTTCCCTCTGGGGTGATATGTCTGTGAGCAATTGGCCGAGCAGGCACTGAGATAGCTGGTCTTTATAGCTGCGAGCCAAACCGTGATGCTCACCCCACCAAGGTCACGTTTTCACCCGGCCTTCTGTGCGGTGGGCGAGCACTCCATGGCGGCAGGCAAGACAACTTGGCACGGAAAAAACAAGTACGTGGTCATCCGACCCGTCTCAGAGCAAAACAGAAGGGAGTCCTCTTCCATGCAATATCGCCAAGTTACGAGCCTAATGACGGTATGTATGCTTACGTGACCACTACAACTCCGCTGGCATGGGTGTTTCCCTGCAGATCAGTGCGCAGCGTTGACACGGTGTAACGTCATCGGAGAGCCCTGCGGCCGGTCGGCGATACGATTGTTTTTCCTTGACAATCTATTGCCTGCCCATCCACAGGCCCCGATGACGTTACACACGAGGTAATTGAGTTCCTCCGACCGGAGCTTCTTATGGAACGTTCGGAAAACCTTGGCATGAGAGAAGGATCGGCGAGCGTTTCGCTAAGGAATTAACAGCCACTTATGGCCACTTGCTTGAGTGTATCTTTCTCTACGCCTACATACATGGCATGTCGGAGCATAGCCCAATTCCTTTGATCACGTGACGCAAGCTTCTTTTCATCGTCGATCACGTGGAGGTCTTCGAGTCTTAATGGCTTGAGCTCCATTTCATTCTATACAACGGTCGCCTATAATACAGACACCCAGCCATCCTAACCACCCGGACGATCGAGGGCGTCGCAGACCCCAGTACGCGCCCTTCGCCTGAAACTTTCCCCTAACTCGAGATGTGGGTTTCGACTTCGGACGGGCGCATGGAGTGTAACATCTAAAATTCTGTGACCATTGTCCCACGTTCCCATTAGTTGGTCGATCGAGGGCGCTAAGATAATGTCGAGGATGCTGAGTGCATAAACTCGTTCCTCTTCTGTGAGGTCGTACTGGTGGAAAAAGTGGGACAGCTCGTCTTCACCCTCCGTAGCCTCAATCGTCGTTTCTGCGGATACCACGATCGTCTCCGCTGGTGACGGGGTTAAAGGTTCGACGCATTCCGTACTCGGGCAGTCTTGCTCCATGCGTGTTATGATCTTGGCGGCGGGAGCAGGAGGCGGGAAGCCAAGATCGACGGGGCTAACGGGGCAAGCGGCCCGGGCCCTAATGAGGCTCGGGCCACGGGATGATAACAACAGGAAGAGATTTGTATTCGAAGGAGAACAAGATACAAGTGTAAGTATAACTGGTGTTGATCTGCTGGAGAGCAGCAAAGGGGAACGGGGAAGGCTAGGCTATTTATAGACAAAGGCAAGGTGCAATCGGAGCAATGGAACAAAGTGGGAAGGGGATGGACGGTCAGGGGATAGAAGGGGTACGACTGCGCGTGTGGCTGGCTACGCTGCGTGGTTGTTGTACGATGAATCAACTGACAAGTGTCACAGACGGACAGGTGCTGTCGATCTCCCATGCGTCGGAATGGGATGGACGTGCCGTCCATAACATCACCCCCACCTTTAGCGTCGTCGTCCCGACGGCGCCTTACGTCGGCGGGTCGGAACCGGAGCGGGCCGCGGAGCAAGGTTGTCGGGGTATACGTTGTGGGATTCCTGGAGGAGTTCGGTGGAGTGGGAGGGGCGACCAAACGGTTTCACGGGTGTTCTCGGAACTGGGCCACTCTTGTCATTTGACGAAATACTGGAGTTGTCGCTGGGAATTGCGGAGGTGAATGTTTCTTCAACGACCCTTGCTCTTGGCCTTCAACTTCTTCAAGAGCTACTGGTTCGGGTTCATGGCGCTCAGGAGTGGTGAAGGGAGGCTCGATGAGGGTGGCGTAGAGGACGTTGTGGATTGGTTATCAACTTTCTGAGAGGGTCTGGCGGCTTTGAGGTTTTTTGCGAAGGGCTTGAGATCCGGACCAGAGGTTCGCTTTTCGTCGGCATAGTGCTTCATTCCAGCCTGGGCCTCCTTGAGCTCAATGGCAAGGTGTTCGTGTATAGATATATATTGATCTTTTCAGCACGCGCCTTCACAGCGGGATTGACAGACTTGGAGTTAGCGTCAGAGGAGAAGTTGACCTTCACGACTCGTGCACACTGACCACGTATGAAAGATGTGGAGGGACGGGTTCAGTCCGTTCAAGGGAGAGCCATGGTGCTATATGTGGGGAGGTCAGCACGGCCAGCGGGAGTCTTCCTATGCATACTTCCCACGATGGGCGCTTGACTCTGCTGACTGTGTGCACCGCTTGACGACTTCGAGGACCCTTCGGTGAGCGCCTTGTGCACCTCCGCTCGCGTGGTTCGGTAAATATACTCGTTGTAAAGATACCTACCCAAATTGCTAAAGCGTTACCATGTCGCATGCTCGATAATTGCAACGCTCAAAGATTGCACATCTGAAAGGGCGGGATCAACTTACGCGGCGCTGTTCCATACACCTCCGAGATTGGCCCCTAAAAAGGAATACGGATTCGAGAAATTTGAGATGCTGTGGCCCTACCATCGGAATGTCCGGACAATCAAAAGCACTCACCAGCGACTCCGATATAGATCAGGAACATTCTGAACCCGTACGGGGCGATGCCATCCGCCATGATGGCGGTGAGCAGCACCGAGCACGGAAACCATTGCAAGCAAGCGGCGATCACGAAGCTCTGCAATCTTCGCACGGCGCGTTCCGTCCCTGCGCTCGCGGCCATCTGTGCAGCGCTCTTCTTCTGCCCCATCCCATTTCGGACCTTGTTGACGTGTCGCACAGTCAGCGTGGATGTCGCCAGAACAATGCATATGACGGATATAAAGAATGCAACTGGTGGTGGTTGTGAGTGGACGACGGTTAGGTACGTGTGCCCCGAAGAGGATACAGCGATGATCAACTGCAGAACGCACCCGCAAACCAGCCGTAAATGCGACCCGCAGTGCCAACCTGTAGGTTGGGACCTTGGCTAAGGATTGAGTAGTAATGGCAAACAGGAGCACGTCAGCTATCCAAGAGTTGTTCATGCGTGCTTTCCTTCATGACGGAAGGAAATAAGCCTTACAAGTACAGAAACGGGCCAGTGCCGTTAAGTATGTTTGCGGTCCCAAAGATCAAAAGCCCCGGCATTATTGCCATGAGGTGAAGACGGTATTCGTATGCTCCCAGGGGGAACTCCCTCCCGACGACGACTTTTAGGAAGGATTGAAACGAGAGTACGGTCGTGACGAGCATCTGCGCCCGGGAGCAAATCAAACATATTGTTGGTTTCTCGACACCTCCTTTATACGATGGAGACATGGAGTCACATACTTGATATGCGATGAAGCAGAAGATCAAGGTTGCCAGAACTGCTCCGACCCGCTCGGCCGGATACCTCTGTGCGCTGACCACCACGACGTGGTCCAGTGTATGGACTGTTGCAAAGATAAGATCGGCGAGGCACCGATAGAGAGGCCTATTTTGCGAAAGGGTGAGTTCCTGGAGACACCATCAGAAGCACAAACCGCGGAACTTAAACGGTCCTCACAATCGGTCGGCGAACGATGTGTAGGTCTTCTCTCTATAAGCCCGGACAAGGACGAAGGTCGAGCCGATTATCGTGGCAACGATGCAGACGAAAGCCACCGTATGCTAGACACAAAGAACAGTAAACACATCGCATACGAGTGGGTGGAATCCCCGACTTAAGCACGAAGTCTTTGGTTGGACAGCCGAAGCCTTACCACTCCGATGTAGTTGGGATAGTCGTCCCACACGATGGCGCAAGCCTCTGGCTCGCTTTCCGTCCACTTGCACCTTTGCGCTGACATGGCTCTTGTCGTTCTGCTTTGCCTTCGGTCTTCGCTCGTCCTTTACGTTGCTTCGGTATCTCCCGAATGGAGGGGGAGAAATGGGTGAATGGACGGGGGACGAACTACAAACATCACCTCAAATCCCGCTTCGTGTAGAAATGGGAAGCATCCCAGCAAGCTGGGAAACGTAAAGAAACTCGGTTCATCTCGATCGTGCTTGGGACTGGCGCGCGTCCAGAAGCATCAGCAGCGGTTAAGGCGAACAAAGCCAAATCTAGTTTCCCAAAGGGCGTGTGTGCAGAATCCGAGTACGGTCGGGGGAATTAGAAACGCAGATCTATATTCTGTGAATATCCCGCCTTCAGTGTGTACGTAGTAGTGCTCATTGCAAGCTTACTAGCACCGTTGAGACGAACAGAGTTCTTCATTGTTCCCGGTGGTAGGACACATATCGGCAAGAGGGAGACCCAGCAAACCTCATTTCTGGGCGGTTGCTCATGCCGGCATCATGTGGCTTCCGACCGTATGAATGCACCCTTCGCGAAATGGGCGATGCGAGACCGAAAGCTTATGTCGGATAGCAATCCCAAAAATACCCAGGTCGGATGTCGACTTACGTAATACCGTTGATCCGAGCAGCTCAAACCCGATTATGTTGCTGTTGGCGTTGGAACCCATCTAAACCTAATCGTATGACCCTAATCCTACTCTGCCTCCAACCGGGGCACGGCCAGTCCAACGCTGAAGAGGACTTGGGAGTGGAAGCCTTGTGAGATACAATCTTGCTGCAGGAAAGCTGTTGGAAATGCAGTTTATCAAAGTATCCGCCATAGCACACGGGTTTAGACCAGGGATGTCGAACTTAGCGTTCGACCAGGAAGTAAGAAGCTTTCAGGAAAGGCTCCGGATTGCAACTGGAAGTCATAGGTCGGTTTTTGGTTTGAACGTTTGTATCGCTGGGAAACAGGGCCTCGTAAAAGCAGCCATACAAGCTCTATCGAGACTTTTTCTGCGGGATAATCTCGCATCAGCATTAAACATACTAGGGCGATGCCATCGGGGGATGTGGGTCTTATGGGTGCAAGAACGAGCCGGAAAAGCCGCCTCGCTGGGTCTCTTTCTGTCCAGCCGACCAGGAACAAGTCTTAGCGTGTAATGTATCGATGGTATCCCTCAGGGTTGTGCTTTTCGTCCGTGCAGCCTAAGTCCGTTGGCCTCCTCCTAGATGTCGACGTACCCGTGTCGCAGCCAAGGTAGAAAGGATCTGAATCAAGCCGTTTCACAAAGCCTCCATCGTACACCTCAGTTCGGAAGCACTCCATTATGTTCTTGATTGCGGTGTTACTTTTCGTCACAGCGTACACCCCGTCGGTGTGAGCCTTTTGGTGCGCCAGGAAGTCGAGTTGATGTCGTTGGGCCTTCGCAGCCAATCCACCGTGTTCCATGATAGATCAATTGATTGCTCGCATATGATCGCAAAGTAACCTCATATCTTCTGATCACGCTTCCGCAACCACCTTGTCGAAGAAAGACCGCACGGCGGGCAGGGGACCGACAATCCAATTCGTGGTGAACTGCCAAAAGTCTAGCCCGTTGAGAAAAACTTTCCAGAAAGGCTTCAAAAAAGTTCAAAAGATCGATCCTATTTCCAATGCCGCCTGGGAATCAACATGAAGGATGTGGGCTCCGGGTGGCCTCCGGGGCTGCCCCCATGTCGTTGGAGCTAATGTGTTTGTTGTGCGTGCCTGCGACAGAACGCTGGCTTGAGTCCCGAGTACGGCGGGTTGAAGCTTCGAAGCAAGAGGGGAGAACAGCTGGGAGGTCGGGATAGATTCTGATGCGTAACAGGTCGTATGAGAAGGGCATGCACTGAGGGCCAGAGGTGGCAGGAAGTCGGCAGGATATACGAAAAAGACCAATCGGCATGTGCACCTTTGCGCCTACGAAAAGTGCGGGCAGTATGCGACCGACTCTTCACGGCGGTGTCTGCGGTGTCTGCGCATCCCCTTTGAAGACGGGGATCCCGTTTTGCTTTGATTAGGGGTCGGGTCTTTCACGGCTGGCCCGAACCTGCACTAGGAGGGGCGTGCATGTCTCAACCTTGTCCCTAACCCGCCGCCCTTGCAACCGAAGCGCTGCCAAGGCCCAAGGCACGCCAGCCACCCTTTCAACTGGACCTGCACTTGGCCAAAGTTGATATAGTGCGCAGGTTTGTCGGGTATGTATGCGAATTTTGTAGTTCTGGTTTGATGCGTCAACCCCAGCAAACTCAATTGTAGACGCATGGATCGTTGTGTACCAGACCAGCTAAATTCGAGTGCAAGTCGTTGTTAGGGTTGCGCGATGTTCTGCCCCTTTTCCCCCCAGCTGTTTCTGTTCCGCTTCACCCGACTTGCGCCCGGTTAAACTCCATGACGTTCCTGCTGAAACTTCGAATGCATAAGGTTTTCGCCACATTTTTGATCGGCGGCGGGAAGAAATCTTGGCGCCCTGAAGGACACCGTATTCATTCAGTCATTCATTCATTCCGTTTAAAGACCCTTTACTTTTGATGTCCTCGTCTCCGAAACTGGACCCGTCCTTGGCAGGCTTAGCTTTTTTGTCAAAATTTTCCTTGCTACCAACATCAACAAACCTCTTTACCAGCGTATCCTACAGTTGCAGCAAGTGGGTGCACCTCCAACCTCACCAACCTGGAGATCGAGTTAAACACCGCATTGCCGCGAGGCTCCCCTACTATGTCACTTAATTTCAGCGATCCAGCTGTGTATGGTCAAGCCGTTGCGGCTCCTGAGGTGCAGGTAAGAGTCTAGCATCTCCTCGTGAAATCGAGAAACACTTGCTTGAGAAGGCATCCCATTGTCCCTTTAGAAATTTTTCTACGAAAGCTACCACGTTCAAAAGTGCTCGATGGTGTCGCTCAATTACAGGAGGGTGTGGAATACTGTACTGGGATAGCCACGCAGTTCGATGAGGATATCGGTACGGGATAAGCATGCATTAGGCAGAAGAACATAAAGATTAATCTCAGTGGGTACTACAATGACCAGGTTCGAACGGTGGTAGTGCTATAATCATGGGCATGGGTTGGCCCATGATAGGCTTAGGTACGTGGAGGTCTCCAATGTGCGATGACGCCCATTGAGGTTTCCCACTTGAGCATCTATAGCTCAAATACACTGATGTCACTAGGGCTGGTCGTCAGTGGTTGGAGACTCAAGACGAGACCCGATCTGCGAGCATATCTTCTTTTTGCTTGCACGTGTTTATCTGGTACGCTCGTCTACTCCGTGGGATGAGAGTGAGTCATTTCTTGCCGTTCATCTCGCATCTCTTCGTTTGTTCGGAATTACAGTGGCCGACTGTGCGGTGCTTGCATGGGCCAGAAGCAACCCGTACTCGTACACATACAGGGATCACTTATATTTATTCTCGGTGCTTTTGATTCCCTGGTCTATCGTCCGAAACAGCACCCTTCTTATGGCCTCCGCTCTGCGCTTCCGAGCTATACTGACCAACAAGCCGCATCAGAAGGCTCTCGTCGCTGGCTTGATAATTATTGCCACCGGTATATTTCTGAGGATGATGTGGTCTCAGCTTCTCCGTTTTATTGCTTGGCTTACCGTATTTATATCTAGCAACCGGTGCTGCTGAACTAGGCATCGCTTACAGAGACGTTTTGCAAAACGAATTCTTAGGAGGGATTTCGTCATACTTCTGGGGAATTAGTGTCATCAAGCCGCTTGTATACTCACTTGTTGGACTGGGGACGTTTACGAAAGGGGTAATTGGGTTTGTCACCGACGGAGATTGCTTGAGACGTTATTGCAATCCTAAATTGAACATTCACAATTATCGGAATAGCTTCGCGCAAACCGCAACAAAGGTGTTTCAGTGGGATCCCCAGGGGCCCAGCGGATGAGAAATATGGAGCTTATCAACAACGTCCTGCTCCTTTTCACCATGACCATGTCTACCCTGACGATAATTATTATTCTAGCCTCCCGGGTACGTTCTAAGATTTTCTTCCGTTTCTTCTGCCCTTGCTTCCAGTGTTGATCCGAGTTTCCTCACCCTTCCTTTTCCCTTCCCTTTAGGGGGCAGTTGGTACACCAACCCAATACAACAAACTGTTAGTGTGTATTGGGTGGTGGGTGAAAACCTTTTTGAAGTGCTCGCACTTTTCAAAACGTCCGCTGATCAAGCGTCGAATGCACAATCGGAAAGTACCGGATCTCGAACGGGGCCTCGAATTGCGAAATCCAGCAGCCCAGCCAAGCCTCAGATAGGAAACTCTGCCCTGGCTGACAAAGGAGACAACCCACAACAAATCGCGGGCGCCTCGGCTCGCAATCTGGGGGGAAATATTCCTGGCCGGAGCTGGGCTCCCACTCCTACCATAGCGTTGGAGGATGTAGCTTAAGATGCTTTACTAGATTGTCCGTTGTACTGCTCAGTGCTACCGCACCGTTAAGCTGTTGGCCCGTCATTCTGCTTTTGTGTGACGACTGGTTTCGACAAGTTGACAAACTAGAGAAAGAAGATGTCCGTGTCGAATGGCCTGTCCAAGCTCACAAAAACATCGACAAAATTGCCGGGTGCTTGGGCACATGGAGTGGGGACAACGTGGAGAAACTGGAAGGGATCCGAACGGAGAAACTACAGAGGGATGAGGGAGCCAATCTGCTTTCGCTTTGAGATGCCCGCTAGGCCATTTCGCCCCATCTTGCGCAAATCTGCATTTGTGCGCGTACGGCAAATGTTGAAAGGATGCAAACGCCTTCTTGACAACGTCTGCGCCGGGATTCTGTATCGTTTAAGTAGGCATCTTTTAAAGGTGGCCGCATTTTGCACTAGGAGAGAGTGCGTGCCTCAACCCTGTCCCTAACCCTACCCTAACCCTAACCCTAACCCTAACCCTAACCCTACCCCCAGGAGTAGTTTCCTCACTCCTGGTAACTGTACTACCCGTTGATGTACTCATGATGACCTTCTCGCCAGTGTAATCTTGTTTTCAGGTCGAATAACGTCAAACAATGACGAATACGTCCAGAATGCGGACAGAAGTACTCCATTGATGTTGTATAGCTCAGTACCTCGAGCAAATACACACAAACAACATGTTATGGACGACGCGTCCATACCATGCGCTTACCTCATGACAGCATCCCAACAGTCAGTCAATGTCAATTCCCTGTCAAAACCTGACATCTGCCAAACCTCGCAGCCGCACGCAGCCGCGCTACCCCACACCTGCCACTGCCTTCATTTCTCCACGCAGCCGCACGTAGCCACACCTCCCAACACTCGGCGCTTACAAACCCTTCTTCATACTTCCCCACGTACCCGCCCAGAGCCTCAGCGTAGCCACCCCATCCCCAGTCTTCTGTTTCTATGCTTCCCCCACCCTTGGCGCTTCTCTTGGCTTCCCTCTCATTCCGTACCCTTCTGCTTCCCCACGCTTCCCCAGCCTTCCCAGAAAAGCATAAATAGCCGCCTCCCCTGAGCTCCCCACTTCCTGATCCCCCAGCAGATCAACACCAGTTCTTCCTAGTCTTGTTCTAGTTCTTGTTTCGGTCTGAATACCATTACCTGTCAACAACCTGCACCACAAGTCGCCTCTATTTCCGTCGGCTCCGCCCATTCTTAACACAACAAGGTTCTCGAATCAGGTATGTTCCATATGCAACAACCAAAATTTGAGCATAGATTTTCCCTCTTTTTGAGCGAAAAATCCCCAAAATCCACCATGTCCGATGACGGCGGGTTTTGGCTACGTTGATCCCAGACAGGATCTGAAGCTATCAGTTTAAAAGGGCCTTTGAGGGAATCAAGAGGAACCCTAACGGCTTAGCTCTGTCCCAAAACTGAAAGACTTTTTCTATCCGCCCGTTTTCGCTTCAATATCGAAACATTGACGAAGGCGATAACGGATTACTCGTTTTGCAGTGATTCAAAAATCCCAAAACGTTCAGGTAAATTCATGGTAGTTCTTTAGATTGGGAAGAACCTTATCGGGGGTCGTTTCGGTCAAAACTGTTGCAGTCTTGCTATACAGAGGTTATAGTGGCGATGGAAAACCCGTTTTTTGATATCTCAGTATCTGTAGGTCGAATCTCTTTGAAAGTTTCAGAAGTCTTCAAGCTCTGGATACTCTACGTGGTTTCCAAGTTTGAAGGGAATCAAATTACTGGGGTAGACTTCCGATCCGTGAACGGGGTCCTAATTGGATACTAGTAAACACGCGTTTATGTTGACTACATATCGACTGTGGGACGTATACTCTCAAGATGTTGATATACTGAAAGAGTAAGATATGGATGGCAAACTGTGGGTTACGGAGGTTTGTCTAACCATCCAGGTGCGAAAAGCGAGGTGGTTGCGACGTATCGGTCGTTCCACTAGGTAAATAACCTAGAGGTCGGCGCTTTTCGACTATAGTGCACTAGGGGCTTCAGGAGTTGAGGTGGACGTTGTCCTGGACGTCCTGAAGGCTATATGAATCGTCTAGAATGATTGTATCGACGTTCTGTGACGATTGCTACGTCCGCAATTTCGAGATGCTGAAGTTGCCGACGTGTTTATCTACTAGGAAGCTCGTTTTGCTCGAAACGAGGGGTGCTACCATGTGATGTGGACTACCTTCCACAGGGGTTGTATAACTGATGTTCGTATACAATAACTACTTTGCTGTAAGCTATTGTAGACGGACTGGGTGTTCGTCGGCGCTGCTATGCGATATGTAGTAGAAGAACTACTTGTTGTTCATAGGATCGCGCGACGAGCACCGGAAGTACCCATGAGGTCGGAGTCCACTGGAGAACCCTGTCTGGGACATGTCTCGCACACCAGGCGGGACATGTCTCGCTCACACATGTTGTTCTCCAATAAGACCGGACACTCCACATTACATGTGCAGCGGGTCAGCCTGGTCAGCCAGCCAGCCTGGGGACCAGAATGGCGATGGCGAGATTGGTATACCCACCTCTTAATGGAATTGAGTGTCTGTGTCACAAGAGAGGTACCGCACTTCTGGCCAGCCCTGGCCAGACAATGAAAGAGAAAGTGCCCGAGGCGGCCCAGGGCTCCAAAGGCGCGCGCGAGAGTGCGTGGCCCCTCTCTAAGTTCTTTGAAATAAGCGCGTCGCTTAATTGCCTTTGCGTGGTTTTGCGCGTCGACTGACGGGAAGCGACAGCGTGTATAAGAGAACTCCGACAAAAGCATACGACGCTGAGAAGACACACGTGGTTCAAACCGCGAGTTGTCGAGAGCGGCGGTTGGCATCGGATATCTCTTTACTGCCCCTGTAACAGGGTCCCCTGTGAAGTTTGCTTTCCTCTCCGGCGATACCAACATAGGGAATACCGAAGACCCTCTTCTGCGAAATTTACGCTTACTTTTGAATCCTACGGTCAAGCGGTTGAGAAGTAAGCGTGAATATCTCAGAAGAGGCTCTCCACATCAAGTGTTTGAGGTCAAGCGAGCGGTAAGCAGAACTAATTGTGAGGCGCTAACATTGCTCCCTATCGCTCAAGAACTACATCCGACGGCATTGGAGTTGGATGTCACCATCCCACATGTGGAAGGTATTACCATTATCACAGCGTCTAACAAGGTCCCATCGTCCCTCAACTCCGGATGCACCTTCATTGCTATCACCTGTAGCAGCGCAAGGAAACCGACGGCTGTCCGCAGAACATCCTTCAATATCAGGTTGCCAAAGTTCACCCGCTGACGGCCGCAGATAGCCATGGCTCGGTGGTAGGTCAAGAATCGCTTTACACTGCGCAGTTTAAGGCAGGCTCGCATATCACATCAGCGTAGCACCATCTGCCGAACATCGCGGTTTCGACAAGCCGGCACCACACCGTCGCACCTGGTGTGGCGTCGCCCGCAGCCTAATAATCCAGCACCCAAAAACTGTGCTCACATGGCCATCGAACTCTCCGCGAGGTATGCCCCCCGACTCACACACCTCAGCGACACCGTCGCACCTGGTGTAGCATCGCCCGTAGCCTAATAATCCAGCAACCTCTGGCGCGGTTTCGACCAGCACAGCAGCTTGTACAGAGACCTCAAGTCGCACCTCGCAGCCGGCGCTCATGCTCCAAGCTACCTTGATGGACCCTTCCATTGACACCATTTGTTGCAAATCCAGCTGCCCTTTCACCACGTACGCGTACGCTGCTCCGGCAGCCGACAAGCGCAACTCGCCGGCGTCCGGACTGTATAACTGTACGGCCAACAATCGACAATTACCGCACCGAGCACATAGCGCGCTAGTAACCTTACAAGCCCATTTTCAAACACGACACCTGTTCACCCACAGAGCCACGCGACAAGGATCCTCGTCTTTTCGTCGGCATCTCAACAATAAATGTGTGCAAAGTCACACCGACCTACTCCTATGGAAGTGACTAAAGGGTTGGCACGACGACCTGCGCAAGTGTTTGCAGCAGAGAGGAAGGCCACCGGTTCGTCTTTGTCGCGAAGACTTGAATAGCTCAAACAAGTCCCTCGTCAACCCTTTCATGGCCGCTGTCAACTCCAACGAGCGAAATCAATTAATTCGGGGATCTTGTATGCACGGAAATCGGTGCATCCAAGTACAGCAAAAAAGAGCACGGCTAAGCCGGAAACATTGTGCGCAATTTGATACACCCGCATCTTATGATCGGTCAGTCTGAAGCTTGAGTAATTGACAGTTTTTTCTTCATTACGGATGTCGTGGCTCCTACTCGTGACTTGGCAGAAACCAGACTGGCGTTTTTGCGGATTCCGGCGGCGAACGCTTTTACCATTGTCGCGAAGGCAGTTTGCAAATTCGAAATCTGGATGAACAAGCGCAGCATGATAAGTTACGCTGGACCTATCTCGTGTCAGACTCAATGTGCAGCTGATGCTACCTCAGTCACCGCACTCGTCTTATCTATATTGCGGTCCTCCAAGAATTTGAATTTCATCTGTGTTGCTTCACCCATGCATACTCCGAGGACGTGTAACGGGTAAACCACGGCAAATGAAACCGCTAGTGTCGCCAAAACACCCGCAACGGCCAAGCATGCCATGACAATGATGCTGCGTATGATGGAACGGTCGATGGAAGCAAAGAAGTCGCTACGAGGAAAGGCAATGACCAACGTCCACTTGCCACCGATGTCGTCGACCTTAATCTGCTGCGCCCCAATGTACCAAGCCTGACCATCTCCAAGCGTGGCTTTGAATGTGGTCGGCCCCACAAGGTCGGAAATGACAGGATACTTTGCGCGAAGGTACTTGCCAACTTGTGCGATGTTGGAGTCCCACGATTTGTCGATAGTGACTGGAATAACGATGAGGTGAATGAAGCATTCAAGTATCACAGCAAGCAATCCTTGAACACCCCCTACTTACGGAGAGAGAAAAGCGCTAACATCGGGTCGGTAGGGATGCCAGCATTGGGAATGGATGTCGAGATAATGGTTCCTGCAGGGTACATGCCCGTACCCAGCGCATCGAAAAGGAAAATAACGGCATTCTGCGACGGGACCAGGGTCTGCATATAAAGATCCAGAGACTCTTGAAGAATGCCGCCTGCTTGGCAGACATGGCTAGGCGTCGACTGGCCCGCGTATATCACAGTGTTGACAGCTCTGTTGACGTGAACGCCATATCAAGACCTTTCGGCTATACGAAGTGATCATATCCCAACGAAAACTCACGCATATGTTCTCCCATAGATATTGCCGTATCCCCAATACGTTTGCCCGTCCAATAGGCCACTAGTCATCTTGAGGTAAGCAGGGTCGCGACTGGTATTATAAAGGTTGGCAGTCGGGAAAATCGAGGACGAGTTGTAATATGTCCAAGCGTTTCCAAGATAAGGCGAGACGCGAGCCATGCGGTTGAAGTTGGAGAGATTCTTTGAAGGATCGAAGAAGTCCTGGGTATATTCTTGAAGAATGATTGATACCGCTTGCGCAGTTAGATTATTGGCATTTTGATCAATTGCTTGCTGTAAGGAGGAAGAAGTTTCTGTAAGTCGATGAGCTTGACATAAAAACATGGCATGCTGATATTGACCAACCTTCCAGTAAGTGTTCTGATCTGCAGGAGATTTAAGAAATGGGTAACGAGCGTTAAAAGAAAATAAATCATGGAACAGCCTTCAGGCCATGGCTTTATTGGATTTAGAACACGACATCACGCACGATGCTGCTCCATGTAGTCCATCGTCCAGTATGCTCCATACGGGAGAAGGGTTTTCAGGTCAGCCAGATTCCCGGCACTGCCGCCGTAGATGGGCGACAGGCTTTTGATGGTCCATTTGTCAATCCCGAATTGCACATGAGGTGAAGCCCAATCCGACGCAGGACCTGTATTCTTCAAACACCAAATCCTGGAATGAGATAATAAGATTAAGGTACTGAGAAAATAACAATGCTATAGATTCTCAGCGCTGTTGGTCGTCGTTGCCAAACTCCTCTTACGTAGAAATATCGTCGTTATTGTGACTAAGCTCTATCATATCTTTGAGAAAATCGGAGCCTCGCAAAGCAGGCCAAATCATGCCGGATGTAGCTGAGCTACTGCCGGCGCTTTCAAGCAGACTAACGGTCCTGCTGTTGCGGCCGAATGTAAGACCAACCCGGCGGTTATTGAGGATTAAACTGTTGAAGTTGTTGTAGGCAGCCCCTAGAGTCGCCTTATATGGTAAGGAGAGAATTCAAGCTTCTTAAGTGACCCGGGCGACAGGAGGAAGCAGCATTGGTGAGCAAACCTCTGTGATAGTCTGTGCGCTCTCCTCCGAATTCGCATAAGCGTTTGTTATGAAAATTGTGCTGGACTAATTTTGCGTTGATGCTCGCAAGAGGTGAGTGATGGCGCACAAGTCTCTCTATTCTCACCCATACAACGTGCTGTCTTCTTGGGACTCACCGGTACAACAACCATTGCTAGGATGAGCAAAGTTGTTCCTCCCAGCAGAACCCACAACGGAACTTTGATCGCCGGAAAAGTGCTGGATTTGCTGCCATTGGCCTTCTTGGCTTCGGCTGCCAAACTCGCCGGATCGTAGTCCCCCCCATCTGCGCCGACTTCCTCATCGTTCGTGGGTACGAGGGGATTCAAAGGTGATGCCATCTTCTCTCAGATTTTTTTATAACGCTGGGAAAGAATTCGAACTTTGACGTTTGATTCTGGACTTTGCCGTGCACTGCCTCAACCCCGCCGGTCCTTATTTATATTGGAAGTTTGTAGCGACGAAAGAAGGATACAAGCAATGTAAAAGCCCGAGAATCAAAGCTGGGCCCTGATGGGGACGACGTGGGCAACGTCCAGACCCCGGATCAATTGATGAACATGTCTCCCAAATCATGGGATCTTTATTCTCTCATATTAGCGTCAATCTCTCTCAATCTTCAGCCAGGGTTTGGCAATGCAAAACTCTGGAATCTCACGGTAGCTTCTAGTTGTCACAACTTCCTGATGTCCTGATGCTACGGACATACCGGCAGCAAGACGAGCAAGAATGGACGCTGCCACTGCTGCTATCGTTGCGATTCTGTCCGCCCACTTTATCGCAACCCAGAATGCCCAGCGTCAAGCGCGAAGCGTTGTTGACGACCTGATGGAGAACAATCGAATGCCTCCCCATATTCTCTGCCCTACGAATTACAGTCCAGCACGGCTAGCCCTGAACCCTGGCGCACAACCCTTAGCCCTGACCCTTGGCGGGTTCGGACGCGTGTCCAAACGGGCGGGATCTTTTAAGGGTGCAACGTTATTTTCGCGGATCCAACCTCTTGAACCATCGGTCGATTCTACCCGACCCAATTGGTAGCGGCTTTTGAACAATTCGCTTACCCTTCACATTCGGTTACGATGGGACTGATGCAACGGGGGAAAGGGTCAGCATCGATGTTTGCGGGGACCTGAGTTTCTCTCCCACAGACAGAATTTCAATCTGGTTTGAGAAACGTTGGCACGATAAGGAATGCCTGGAAAAACCTGTCCGATGCCGCCCAGTACATTCCCACGTTGCGTGTCCTGCCGCGATGCTCTGGTGGTTCGGCATGCTTTTGGCGAGCGCCAAACACTGATTGTAACTCCACCCTCTCTATGGGAACCAGAAAAACTATCATTGAGAATCATCCGTAAATTTCCCATCGCACGGAGTGATCAAACTTTGGTGCCTACTGCAGATGGTGCACCTGACGAGCTGGTCATGCCGAAAAAACCTTCAGTCACAAATAACGTGCGTGCAGAACTTCGATGTTTGCACCGCACTTGATGCTCGCACCTGTCGCCAATCTTCGTCCTCGTCTTGAGGGATCAGCTGAAACAGAAACTCATTTGCTTGCGAAGAGTCCAGTGACATTTTGTTATCACGTAACGCCAAGACCTCCGTCAAGTTCCGCACTGGGAGGTACATAAATCAATCGCAAGAATGTATATCAGGCATTACGGCAAACTTGAACATTAACGACCTGCCTTACCTGACCCTGTGGGAAGGGCGTTGAGTTTGGTCGTGAACTGCGTCTCGTTTACGTCAGTGGTCTGATGATAATCACTCTATGCGTCCGTATAGCAGTGAGCAAGACTACCATTCTCTGACGCCGACACTGGAGAAACAAGAGTTAGAACGTGACGAAAACGTTTGGGAGACGTCGTCGGCGCGATGGCTTGCGGTTGCGGTGTAGATCACTGTGTTCGTTGACCGTCTTGATTTAAAAAGCATTACTGGGGAAGGCCGCATACGTTTAGGTGAAGTATTCGTAGAACGATTTCTGGTTGTCAGCGACGACAACGTTGTCTCACGACATCCTTGGTTGCAGTGCCTACGGTTTCCGGGAGCTCATCGACGTGCGGAATCGGTAGCCTGGCCTCTGCGCCTTCCGAAGGTGACCGATTGTCAATGAAGCGCAGATATCACTGGCGGAAACTTCGCAAAGGACGCGATAAAGCGCTCAACAGCTTAGTGCTCACCACTATAATCGAGAGGTTGAACTTGTCAACAGCTATATTAAGTGTTCCGCACTGGTCATGGAGGAGTTTCTGGAAGCTCGCCGCCACACCCGAACAATCTTAGTTTTTTCAAGACAACCGCGGAAGTGAGTTTCTTACTCCAGTAAGCCAAAAGCCAAAAACGGTTTACAACCGGTGGTGAAGACTGTCATAGGAGATTCGGTGAGAATCGGTTCACAGCCAAACTCGAAGGCCAGCCGCGTAAAGTTGATGCACCCTGTAACAAGCGCCATCTAAAAACTAAAGGGGGGGATCATGGTGAACTAAGGAGATCTTAGGGGGAGAAGGTTGCTATTCGGGGCCCGGCGGGGGGGGGGGGGACATTCACAACCAGAGGGGATAAGGATTGGGTTCCCAAGGCTGACGGTTCATGTCTGGTCTGAACCCGTTATATCGCGCATATGTGTAGAGGAGGTAACGGAAGTTGGCGCCTTGGATGTCTCTGTTCACCATGATGGGCTCTTGATCTTGATGCGGGTGGCAGACTCGTTGCTATCGTGAGGGCGAGGAAGGTCAGCAGGGAACCCTCAGACGCTTCACCTGGCGTGAGCTGGATGGAAGCGAAAAGAATTTGAAGGCGCAATATAAGGTGGGCGCAGCAGGAGGTTGACAATCGAAGGCCTTGACTCGGACCGGGTAACCTATACATAATTGATATGGCATCTTGAAGCTATTAGGTTTAGGGATCGTCTATTCTAGAACGAGTTCAAGAACGATTGGGTTGCATGTGTCCGTTAGGGTCGCGGAGTGTATGCCTAACCCTAAACCCCTCACCGCGCCAATTGCTTGTTCATATAAAAGCAGTCATGGCCGAACTCCAGAGCACTTAACCCATCTGGGAGTAAAATTGAGTGCACATCCTCCAAATACGTGAATCGCTACCACAATTCCCTTCGACATCGCCGCATTAGCAAGTCTTACTTCTGAACGCTAACGCCCCTTTGTTGTGGAAGTTGTATACACTCCAAGCGAATAAATGCCGCAACTCCTCTTTGTTCCTTTTGATAGTCAGCCGTACTTCACCGACGTCAGCGACTTCAAGGCTTTGAAGAAGCTTCTACACGTCCGACATATGAAGGATGTATCATTCCCTATCGTAGTCGTAGAACGCGATGGTTCCGGGCAAGATTGCTACTTTCGAGGCCAAGTGCAACTCACGTATGATAGCCATGATGCACGACGCTCGCCTGACGCGGTTAATCGAAACTTACCGTTTGTGTGCGGCAACGCGGCTGTACTTGCGACATACACTCTCCACGTCGATGACACCGACGAACCCGAACGGACGATTTTGGACTTGTCGCGAGTCCTCCGACAAGAGGTAGCAATCGACTTGTTGCGATTTATGCATCTCAAAATGCTGCTCAACGACATTCGGTTGGAGACGCGGGACCTTCAGTACGAAGTCATGCAATTAATTGCGCAAACAGGATCACAGCCCGCAGCTGGAGCAAATCCCATCAGTGAGGACGACTGCGAAAGGGAAGCCGAAACGCTGAGTGACCTCTCCAGCTTCCTGGGAAAACGAAGTACCAATCTGTTCAGGGAAAGATGCACGGCGGAACACGAGTTGAACCGGCTCGATGTTGACCACAGCGCGTTCATGGCTATAGCAACTGAACATTTCTCACCGGACGAATATATCTTGCGCAAATTTGTACTTGGGGAGCAAGAGTAGTTTAGTTTGTCGTTCGGTGGCTCAAGCATCGTTCGAGGCTTTGAGTTGCGTTACCGTCGGGAACGGTCAACCTCTTCGCGGGGATGGCGCGTTGGGAACCAGAATAAAGCATCTTAACATCCCAAGGGTATTTATGCTCATTCTCCCAGGAATACTTCGCCGGAGAAAGGGGTCTCCCCCACCCTGCGCATATATGGGAAGCGTCTCATAGATTCGAGTAATGTCAAGTGTCTTTATGATTTTATATCACCAATATAGCTTTATACCCCATCGAATGACTTTATATAAGTACACTTAGGTGTGCTCAAAGCAAAATTCGCTCCTCCCGTCCCTTACCTTACATCACAGCTGCTGACAACCGGCCAGCTATCCGGTGACGATGGCATAAGTATAGTGTACTCCTCCGACGAAACGTAGCTTTCATAATGTTTGTTGTACCTGTGTAAAGACAGGTGCCAGTCGTGCCTGGCGACACTGTTTCGATGGATGCAGTTGGGTTTTCGACAGCCTTTTCCTCTAGAAGCTGCACTACAGCATCGGAACGCGCTGTCAGAAGTCTTCGCTGCGATTACATAAGATTCCGGTCACCACACATCCAGAGGACAAGGGTTTCCGGAATCTAGCACATTCGAGACCATTCTACCTCTTTCGCTCCTAAGCTTCTTCAATTAGGACTCGAACCCGGGACTACGTGCGGAATGGAATCAGAAGGGTATTTCATAAATCTTGAGGCGGGGGTGGGATGTTTGGAGGGTTGCTTTGATTCGTCGTCACCGCCCAGGCATCCACAGCGAGCATGTCAGTCCTACAGTACCACCCCAGATCGTCGGCTTTTGGAAGAAGGCGGCGATGGAGATTTTATCGAAAGCTGTGAGAAACTGTCTACTTCTGGAAGAGCAACCGCTGGTGAAACAACTACTTTGGCTTTGGCATCACATCGCAGGTCGGGAACTGATGGAAGTGCTGGCTGCTTCGGAGGCAGATGACATACCGCCAAAGCTTGTACGCTCATCGTGCGGCATCATACGCTACAATGTCAAGCGGTACCCTCAGATGATGGCATGCAGCATGTTTCCGATGGATTTGGTCGCTTGGTTCGGTTTCAAGGATATGCCGGACGACGTGGCTTCATTATGCGTGAAGTACGAGATTTGCGCTACATTGCAGTCGGATGCACCTATGTATATGGCCAGTCAGTTCCGAGCATTTGAAGGGTCTCATCCCACTGGATGTTCGGAACTGTATCTCCCGGATATATGCCGTTTATATGATTGAGCTTGCGAAACCGTCGGCGCCGACCAGCAACACGAGCCGGAGGGAAGGAAAGCTGGGTAGAGGCATGAAGGCGCCTCCATCATTGGTATCGCCGGGAAACAAGAATTACATCATCAGATTCTCTTCAACAAGGAATTTTGGGTCGGGATCGCGGAGCGGGTTATTCGAAGCGTCCTGCCTGGAAACTCACCGGACGCATTGAGAAGTAAGGAGATGGATATAATAACTGCGCTAAACGAGAGAATCGACGACATGCGAAAGATACTAGATCACATCGGCGAAGAACCTTACCCTGACCAGTGTGACACCAGTCTTCCCAGCAGTCCTGAAGCACAACCTTCTCCTCATCCATTGAACTCATGAACTACGTTCCTCGTCCAGAGCATAATATCGTTCAGGTTCTGACGGCGAGAACCGATTACCCGAGACATATGGTGCTTAACCTGGCACGGGTACAATTGTCTTGCAAAAAACGTCTTTGCAAAGCCCGCCTTGCAACCAACCACATGTACGAGAGCTAGGGGCCTCATCCTGAGCAGAGACAAGCCAGGATAGCTCTGGCCCATCCAAAAGAAACCCAGCGATATATACATATTCAACACATGACACAGGACGCCGGGATTCTCTGGCAATGTGTTGATCTATTCCTATTCCTTATTGTAGCTGTATTGACATGGCGCAGCGTTTCCTCGTGCAGCGATGTTGACCTTCCAGAAAAACTGGCTTGCAAGAGCTTCTGTGCCACAAAAATCATTTGAATAACTTCTTGCGCAGGTGAGGCAGTAGGATCGGGCAGTGACTTCCATGCACTCGCGCAAACGCTTTCCTGGCACAGAGGAACTATACATCAAATGTGGGAGGTCATTTCATTTGATTTTGGGAAGATCATGTGAACCAATATTACACAGCAGATCTCGCGGAAACCTCCAGGACAAGGCCAAACCATGCGCTAGGGGTAAACCGAGCGTGAGTCTGGAGCTTGTCCTCTATTTTGCTAGATTCATAGATTCTGCTCTCGACACATCTGAGCATAGATTCCATTCCGAGCTACTAAGTCATTATGGGTACCAAGCTCCGCAACCCGTCCGTCCTGGACCACTGCAATCTGGTCAACGTTCTTGATGGTAGACAACCTATGCGCGATTGTAACGGTAGTCCGACCCGTAGCAGCCCTATCGATTGCCTTTTGTACTTCAAGTTCACTTCTGGAATCCAGAGCGCTCGTTGCCTCGTCTAAAAGTAGCAGCTTGGGCCGACGAATCAAGCTTCTCGCAATAGCTATGCGTTGACGTTGTCCGCCGGACAGTTGAGCTCTTTCACCAACACGCGTGTCGTAGCCCTCTGGGAGGTCTTTGATGAAGCTGTGAGCATTGGCTTGCCCCGCCGCTTCTTGGATCTCGCTCCTTGTGACCGGAGCCTCAGAACCCCAAGCTATATTCTCGCCGATGGTGAGATCGAAGAGTATCGGTTCTTGCCCAACCAGTGCCATATGCGGACGAAGGCCCTTCAATAGCTGGTATTGTGAAATCTTCGTACCGCCTAGCGTAGCTGCACCTCCTTGCGGGTCATACCACCGTTGGAGGAGGCCGATCACGGTGGATTTTCCACAACCGCTCGGACCCACGAGGGCTAAACTTTTATTCGCAACACCGGCGAGGGAGAACATGCCCGTGAAGATAGGTTCAGGCGACGTCGGGTATTGGAATACTAGATTTGAGAACTGGAAATCGGCGCGGAAGTCTTCAGGGGTGATTCCGGCTTTGTCGGGATCGATTGACGTCTCTCGATCAAGGATGGCAAACGTCTGCAAACACAAGAGCCAGTTAGCTTCATGTCGTGAACCTGCGTACCGTTGAAGGCATCAAAAAATACCGTCTGCGAGGCGAGTTTTCCTCTCACGTATGCCATGCCCAGGCCGGCCGAGCTGGAAATCGATATCATCGTCGTCATCATGCCCAATACAACCGACATGATTTGCCATAGTTCAATGCTGCCTCTGTCGGCGAGCTTTTGTCCCGCATAGAAGCCTAGAGCTATGGTGAGCATGGATGCCGTGTCCTGCAGACCGTAGGCAATGCTATCCACGAATGCATTTCGCTTTGTCATGCGGAAGGGTTTATCGAGAAACGCTTCGTAGCGTTCAACCGCGAACTTTTCTCGGTCCAGCATCTTCAAAGTCTTGACTTCTTTGATAGCTTCCATCGCAACCTGTGTAGATTGTTCATACGCCTCTTTGCTTGATTCTGCAAATCTTGCCAAAGATGTGCTCTGCCAGTAACCCGCGGCGATGATGAAAGGGGCAAGTAGGAGCAAGATGCCGGCCAGGGTCATCGAGAAGGCGAGTGATAGGGCTATCCCATATATTGCTGTGAACATCACGCGCCCCGAGTCTCCGTATATATCGGTAAGCATGCGTGGTACATTCTCCACAGCTGCAAGGCGATTGCACAACGATCCAGGCGCATTGGCCTTTGCGTCGAAGAATCCAACCTCCTGACGCAGAAGATTTCTGAAAACAGATAGGCGTAGTCTAAACGTTGCGCGTGCCACGGCCTTTCCATATAAGGCACTTTGAGCCCATTGCGTGGTAAACGCAAGACCGGCGACCAGCACTATGATCCGAAGCTCTGTGAGCCTGTGTTCGTCGTCATAAAAGGGACCGAAAAAGCCTCACCCATGTAGCTAATCCAGGTATCCGCGGTTTTCTCTTTCAATACCTCTCCGATCGTGAACGAAATGATGACCGCAAAACCAGGGAACACCTGAATCAAGGGGCAACACCTTTGGTAAGACTAGCATTGCAAGACAGAGCCCCAGAAAACCATTTTCAAGAACACCGACCAGTCCGCTAAAGGCCCCAGCGATAGTGCCGCCAACGATAAGCTTAGTCTCTGGGTCGAGAAGCTTTCGCACCCTCCGAAAAAATCGTTGCGACTCGCGCGCTGCTTCCCGCCGTCCTATCAACCTTTCCGCTTTCAGCTTCAATCGTATTTGTCTCGCAATTGTATCGGGCGGATCCAGTGTGACGGTCGGTAGCTTTAACATGTCACGAACTTCCTCGGTCTCCAAAATTGGTTGTTGTCCGTGGCTTTCCATCTCTGCACCATAGTCCCTTTTTGGTTGTCCCGTTTCAGCTTCCACAGACAGCTTTTGCTTGTCTACGAGTGCGGTGTATTCCCCACCCATCGAATAAAGTTGTTCGTGAGTTCCCATCTCCACCAACTTCCCACAATTCATAACGCAGATGACATGCGCATTGCGGATGGTCGAGAGTCTATGCGCAATCACAATGGTTGTGCGACCTGCGGAAGCGGCGTCTAGAGCTTTCTGCACTAGGCGCTCCGAAGTGGTGTCCAAGGCGGAGGTTGCTTCATCCAGAAGGAGGATTTTGGGGTTCTTCAAAATCGCTCGGGCAATGGCTATCCGTTGTTTCTGCCCTCCAGATAGCTTTCCTGGGCTGACTGGCGTATCATAACCCAAGGGGAACTTCGTGACGAAGGAATGACATTGAGCCATTTTGCAGGCGGATATGAAGACGTTGGGAGACACTTCCCCATGGATTCCCAAGAGAATGTTTTGCCGAATAGTGAGGGAAAACAGAACCGGTTCTTGTCCAACGACACCAATGTGCTTTCGCAGGGCTGATACTTTCATGTCTTTCACATCTTTGCCATCCAGTGTGACTACCCCAGAAGTGGGATCATATAGTCTCTGTAAAAGGGCGATAGTGGTGGATTTTCCTGACCCAGATCCACCCACAAACGCTACGGTTTGCCCGGCCTTGATATCCACCGAGAGCCCGCGCAGGATGGGCACGTCTGGGCGGCTTGGGTAACTGAACCTCACATTTTTGAACGAGATGTCCCCAGTAACGTTCAGCAGATTGTTCTCACTGAAGCTCCGATCGATCGAGGGTTTCCTCCAGATGATGTAGTATATCAAACGTGCGGCTGCCTGCGCGGTGGCAATGGACGAGAGCTTTCTCGGTACATCCATCAGCGAGGAGGCTAGAATCATCATCGCCAAGAGGACAACCACTGCATTTGGCCCTGGAATCCTGCCGTCCAAGACCATATGTGTCCCGATGTAGAATGATAGTGCAAATATGAGGAACAAGATGCAGCTGAAGACACCCATGGACAGCCCAGAGAACATCGCCTTTCGTATGTCCACTTGTTCGACCTGCCGAAGACTGTCCTCATATTTCTCCATAAACCTCCGCTGCAAGGTAAAAGCGTACACGGTACGGATTCCCGAAAGGGCTTGTTCGGGCACAGAGGAAGCTCTAGCATATGCGTCGCCGCTCTTCGCAGCCATAGAAGCATTCACCTTCACTATGACAACCCCGCAGCCGATGAGTAGCGGCAGCAGAGAAAGGATTATCCCTGTCAATTTCGCGTCATTCCAGAAGGACACAAGCAAGCAGCCTATGATATTGCCAGCGACGGAGAAAAGTGCTTCTGCGCTTTCGCCGAGCCCGATTCTAATCAAGGGCACATCGTTTGACAGTCGCGTGCTCAGGGAGTCTCCATCAGACAGATCGAACCACTCCATGTCTTGGCGAAGTACGCTTTCGAGGAACAGAGAAGATATCCGCTTCACTTGCCGCTCAGCAATCATTGTCCATAGAGCCCGACTGATGTACTTGGAACAAAAGGCGTATAACGCCAGTCCAGCGAACAGAAAAGCTTTCTCGCCAATCCCCGACAGGCCCTGACCTGTGCCGCTCATAAGTCCAGCTAAAGTGCTCCCAATAGCGTTTATGGCAATCAAATTGATCGACCCGCTTCCCATGCTGGCCAGGGCTGCCAAGAACATCAGCACAACCTCCCACCAGGTGGCGAACGAGAACAGCTGGGACGTCGATAATCGGGGGAGCCCAGGCTCCTTGGGGCGAAGAAGTCGCGGGTTTTCTAAGTCCATGTCAATAGACTCCGAGTCACCGCCGACGTTGTCGACCGATGGGTATATCCGTCCCGCCATCAAGTCAGTTGCAGTAGGCAACATATGTGCTGATCCAGGTGGGACTTTGTTGGACTATTGCAGCAAGCCGCTACTCGGAGCCAAACAAGTGAGTGCTACAAGAGAATAGGCCGTTGGTCAACTGCTTCTGTGCCCAACCATGAGATTCTCCCCGGACGACATACCCGAACTAGCTTACAAAGGATACTGTTGGGGAGTCCACCAAGAGACTTTCATGCTTCACTAAAAACAAACCCGCCTTCTGTCTATCCACGTTTCGCATTGGTCTGGAACTTATTGCTATTCCCCTGGACGGATGCCAAGGTTTTGCTTGTTTGGAAAAACCTCCTTGTTCTTCCAAGGCTGCTGACAAACCAGCTGTTGAAGCGCGTCACCGACTCACCGCGTTTCTGTTCAAAACTTCAAAACTAGACCCTGGGCTAAAGCACGCGTCCGCAGGCCATTCCCGTCACTCACAAGAAGTTCAATTCACATAACGAGCTTGGAATGGATGCCAGTGCCCCGTCCGCTCAGGAGGATGGGTCACTGCAGGCAGGTCCTCCTTCTCCCCCGTATTTCCCAGGTCACCGCATTATGAAGATTTATTGACCTCTACCACCCCAAGCAGCACGCTGTAACAAAAATGTCTATCCCCCTGTCCACCTCATCCCCCCTTTGATTTCCGCTGTGCGCCCAAAAACAGAAAAACGTGATTTTTGTGATTCTCATTAGCAACGCGGATTACAGAACGCGGGTTCACCCACGTTATCTGGCCCGATATACCGTAGTCATTGACCTCTCGCACACCCACGGACGTCAAGATATTCGGAATCAATTGGCATGGGTGGTAGGTAAGGCTTATCGGACCCGATACGCTGCGGCCATGATGAACCTCCTTCCAAAAAATTTCAGACATTTACGGCTGTAATGTGATTATATGCATATTCCTATATATTTCGTGTCAGAAATTGTACTCCGCGTCTGCCTTCCGCGTTTTGGCGACAAGAGATGGGCAGTGGCTAAGCAAGTCATATATCCAGCCCCTCATCGACACCGCCGCCCCTGTGTCTAATGCTGGAACAGGCACTTTGGTTTGCATTTTCCCATCGCGCCCAATGGATGTGAGGTTAGCCTGATCCCCATCAAGGAAGAGGTACAAGTACTCCATAATGGCGTATACGCCGCAGTCCACGTAGTTGGGTTGTTGCCACGTATGCGGGTAGATGTCAACCATATCCCAAAGCGAGCTGTTGGCCCGCATGGCTTTTGTGGTGATTTTGCCCTCTGCAGTGGGTACACACGTTTCCGGCCAGTGTGGCACGTTAACTCCTGCGTATCGGTCCGATAAGCTCAGGGAAGAGGAAAAAACTAAGGGTACGAGTTCTCACCGTGAACCTTTTCCAATATCCAAGACAAATGTCCAAGAGTATCCTGATACCTCTTCGTCGTTTTCCGAGCTCTCAGGGAATCCCACAGGAGAAAGCGTTGGTCTATCCTGTCATACATCACCACCCAGAAATGATTCCCATCCAACATGGGCGCAGCCACAAAGCGTTGGCTGGAGTAGTCGCCGCACCTTTATAACCCCTCTCGCGAAGCTTACTGCTACTTGTGTGCTCCTAATCTGGTTATAGCTCACGGGCGCATGGCAGACATCCTCGCGAAACTTTTCAGAGGCCTTTACAACGTTGATCACCAATTCCGCAGTGGTGTTGGCAAGCCACCGATCCTCCTGCAAGAAGGAGAGGATCCGATATAACTCGCCGTCCCCGGGGAAGGCGCTTCCTTGGAGTTTTGCGAGCGGTGGCCAAGTTGTATTGGGTTGATAGTTCGATCCCAACAGGTCACGGATGGTGGGCAGTTTAAACACGAGGACCGACCGAGGGATGGTGGCAGCTAATTGCGAGAGAGAGACGAAAAGGCGCCTCCCCCTATGGTCCTCGGGTTTGTCGCTGGCTGATTCTTTGCGTTTGAGTGGGCGAGCAGACAATTCCTCCGTAACGTACCGATATGGTTCAAGTTGCGTATCGGACTGATACGGTACAACATCGTTGTTGAAACCGGGAGACACATAAGGGGGCGGGGTATTGGGCAGCGGGTTTGGTTGCACGTAAGCAGCTTCTCCTGCCTGGTGTGCATCCAGGACTGGATTCTGTACCCTCTGCGGATGATTCTCGACTTGTCGCTCGTCCGATTCAATGACGCTCTCATGATTATCGTCGTCGTCCGTCGAACCGTAATCTTCATCAGAGTGCAGGATGCCCATGTCAACCTCCGCCACCGCCATGGCCTGGTAGGCGCTCGTAGCTCCGAGGAGCTCGTCAACCATATCCATCATGCGGTTCCATTCCTCGTCGTTCGCTGGGGTTAGCTCTGGTAAGCGTTGCCAGCCTTGAATATTTGTCCAATGCAGCCGTCGCCTGAGGAGATTTGTCCGGTGAGCCTATGAGCAGGAACGTATCTGTCCGATAAGACAAACCGGACTTACAGGGGCTCCCAAGTCGATTGTGCCAGATCATCCCCAGCCCAGTGGACTAAGACGTACCACATGTCGGTGTCAGTGGGGTTAGGATCACGCGCTTTAGCCAACAGCGCCTCCACCTCGTATACGCCCGCAGCATCCATGTTAAGAAGAGCCTTCAGCTGACCAATCCCCAGCCCGTGTGGGGGCCAAGCCAGATATTGGCGATGGATGCCACGTCTCGTTGAGCCAGGGACATCGCCTTTCTTTGGTCCTTGCGTGATCCAGTTGAGTTTGTATGTTGATTGCTTGACCAACTGCACGATTTCTGCAAGGGCTGTAACGTCAGAGGAAACGTAGACGATACTGGGCCCTTCCGAGAGGGCTGAGAGCAGTGTATTGTAGTGAAGAAAAAAGTAAGAAGTTCTTTGCAGCGGCCGCTCGACTGACAGCTTTATATATAGGCTGCCAGTGGGGCTTGCGTGGCTTCAGTGAGGCTTGACGCCTTATGTAATGTATCACCGAGAGCTCGGGTGGCCAGCCAGGGTCTCGGATCAAGTAGAAGTAAAGAAAAATAATATGAAATACAAGTGAAGATGAGATATCCTTGACACTTCCCTCAGATCCTGAGGAGGGCGCCGAATAAAAAAGAGGTGAACTACGAGGGATATGTGAAGAAAGGGAGAGCTCATGTTCATTTTAAAGTGTTGACGCACTTGTTCATTTTATAGCGTTGACGCACTGTGTGATGTGTGTGTTTGAGGCAAAGGCGTCCCTAAGCCGACGTCGTGTGTGATGTGTGTGTATAAGGTCGGTTCTTGCGTTGCCGAGCGTGATGTGATGTAGTTTACGTTGCTTTTGTCAGCGGTGTGATTGATAGTGAGCGGTTCTTGCGGCGTCGTGCGTGTGATGTGATATGAGATGCTCTATGCTGTTCGTCTCCGTATCCACAAAGATTGTGGATGAGCTTTTCACCATCGTTTGTAGGCAGGCGTGCAGCGAAGTGCGGATTTGGGTTCCCAAGTAGGGTCGGGATAACCGAGCCCTTTGACTAGAAGATTTCGTACGGCGCGTCGCTCGTCGATGATATCTTCTACAACCCATTCAGGTTGTCCGCGGTCTTCGATTGGCGGATGAGGTTGTGGAACTGCACATTGCGGATATTGCTCTTCGCGATGTGGTCGTAAAATATCGACGTGAAAGACGGGCCAGAAGCCGCTGATCTTTGATGGTGATAAATCAAGTTCGTAGGTATCAGGATGTGCTCCCAGTGCGATGATTTTGAATGGTCCGATCCACGTAGCTGAGTATCAAAGTCCTCTTCGAGCATCTACTTCTAGGTTGATTCCTTGTCAATTTAGATCGACGAGGTCGCCAATTTTGTATGCAATTGGCGTTCGACCTTTGTCGTGTTGATGTGCAAATTGGTCTTGCGATCTCTGAAGTTTTTTGAGTACGATGCGGGCGATGTCTTCCTGCCCTTTCTTGAAGAGTTCGATTTCATTCCGATCAACAGCTTGAAGTTTGAGTTCTTGTCCTTTGAGAGTGGGATTCCAACCCGGGAGGATTGGAGAGCGTCCGAGATCTACTTCGAATGGCGATAAACCTTCATATTCCTCCCTTGGAGCAGTGTTGTATGCGAATTCGATTAAAGGCAATAGTTTCTTCCAATTGCTTTTGTCGTAGTTAAGGTATTGCTTCCAAATCCTTTTCAGGGTTTGGACGGCTCGCTCAACTTTGTTGTCAGTTTGCTGCTGACCAGCCGTAGCGAATTCGTGTTTTACACCGAGGAGAATATTGAATGCGAGGAAGAAGTCGGAAAGTGCACAAGGTTTGCGATCTGTAACGAAGACTTTTGGCATACCGACATGTTTCCAAACATGATCTAGAAAGACTTGGGCTAGTTCGCGTCCAGTGATTGTCTTCTTGATCGGTGTCAGAATCACACGTCCGGAAAGGGAATCAATGCAGACGAGCCAAGAGTTTGTTTCATCTACTTCGAAAATTTCGAATCCGATTGTGTGCCATCTTCCAAAGGGTATAGGAAGAAGTCAGAGAAATCCATATCGACGATGACCAGGTTTGAATTGTTGACAGGATTTGCAAGTTCCAACGTATTTGATGCCGTCGGAGCGTACAGTAGGCCAGTAATAGTCCGTAAGAATTCTCGCGAGAGTCTTCTTAACACCGAGATGTCCTCCGGTGGTGAGTTCGTCATGGAATTTCCGTAAAATCTCCGGGCGAATGTCTTCAGGAATGTATCAACGTCTTTCGTGTCGTACTAATCCATTTTCGAATGTATAACGGAGTTCTTTCAAAGTTTTCTCGTGTTGGGGCTTTCGAGAAATTTCATCGATATAATCCAAATATGGATCTTTGCATAGCGCCTTTTTCCATTCTTCTTCTGAGCAAGTAGGTGAGTCTTGTGGATCGTCTGTCGCAGCATTGGAGGAAGGTTCGTTGACAAGCATGTTGCTGATCTGCGTATGCATGTCAAGACATCATTGACAATCTACACACCGAGGCGCATAGATTGGATTGCGGGAGAGCATGTCAGCGATATGATTCCATCGTCCAGGTAAATACTGGATGTCGAAATCATACTCTTGTAGTTTCTCCACCCAATTGGCTTGTCTTCTGCTCAAATGGGGTTGTGTTTGGATGAATTCGACTCCCTTGTGATCGCTAAAGCATCGGAAGAAACAACCGATGAGATATGGTCGATTGGCGACCAACATCTTGACAAGAGCTAATAGCTCTTGTTTGTGCGTAGGATATCAAGTTTCTGCGTCCTTCATGCTTCCAGAAAAGAAGACCACAGGCCGGAGCAGTGGTAAATTCTTCCATTGTCCGACGAGAGTAGGCAGATTCGTAGGGATCGTTTCATCGCCAGAAGGTTGTCCAATCCAGCCAGATAGCATAGCCTGATGAGTCGGTGTAGACGTAAATCGGTTTGGTTTCATCGATTGTTGCTAGTGTAGGCGCATTGATCAACGCTTCTTGCAACTTTTGAAATGCCTTTTGTTGCTCAGGACCCCATTGAAATTTGACTTTCGAAAATTGAATGCTTGATAGGGGCAGAGCGATGTCCGAATAACCTTGTACAAAGTCGAGGAAGTAGTTCGTGAACCCGAGAAAGCGTTGGACTCCTTTCGTTGACTTTGGGGTAGCCCAATCCTTGATAGCTTGGATTTTCGAGGGCGCGATGCGAACACAACGTCTTCCGACAATATGTCCACACCATTCGAGTTCTTCTTCAGCCCATACGCACTTTGAAGGCTGAATGAAAAGGGCATGTTCTTCAAGTTTCTTTAGGATACGATCGACGTGCTCCCGATGTTCGGCTAAGGTCTTCGAGAAAATGAAAATGTCGTCCAGATAGGTAGCGAGAAATTTGTCGTAATCTTTGTGGAAGATCTTATTCATAAGATGTTGAAATGCAGCAGGTGCGTTGGTAAGCCCGAACGGCATGACCAAATACTCGAAATGTCCGAAGCGAGTTTGTATTCCCGTTTTTTCTCGATCTTGCTTTCGTATAAGAAGACGATGGTATGCTTCTCGAATATCGATAAGCGTAAACCATCTACAACCTTGAATCCGATCCCTCATCTCAGAAATATTGGGTAGAGGAGTGCGATCTTCCTTGGTGACGGCATTGAGACCTCGGTAGTCCCAACAGATGCGTAATCCGCCATCTTTCTTTTTCGCAAAGACGACACTAGCACCCCAGGGACTTGAGGAGTGTTGTATCCATCCTTTTTCGAGCATCGAGGTGATTTGTTTCTTGAGTTCAGCGAGTTCTTCTTTGTTCATGTGCCGAAGAGGTTGCCAAATGGGTTCAGCACCTTCAGTGAGTTCGATCTTGAAATTATCTTCTCCGCAATCAGGAGGTAGACCTTCCGGTTCCTTGAAGAGCGTATTGACGTATTTATTTAGGATATCACTGAGATGTCCTGGATTTCCTTTAAGCTCTTGAGGAGCGTCCGGTATTTTGTTAAGAGCGAGGCAACCGTGTCTTTTTCAAACTTGTTCCGTCGCCAAGCCTTATTGAATCGCTTGGAAGTCATTCTTACGACTTGAGGATTGCGAAGGGCATTGGCTTGAGCGAATCGAGATACATAATGAGGTGCGGCTTGTAAAGGACGAGTATCCACAGGTTTAATGATCTGAACAGGTCGAATGGGTCTTTTGTCATAGACCGGATCTTGTTGTACATCGAAGTAAGGGTTGTTGTGTTTTGGGATGTATTCGACGTCTTCCCAGTTTCTTGAAGTTCTTTCGCACTTGATGGTGACAGACTGCGGTGCGTTTGGTATAGGGCCGTAATTGGTCCAGCAAAGGATAGGTAAGGTACTCATCGAGAATTGTTGAGCGTAATTAAAGAAACGCCAGAAAGGCATTCCAATAATAGCGTCGTAAGCCAGATTACTGACTAGCCAGGGAAGTTGTCCAACTAAGAAAAGCGACTGAGATTCGAGATCCCTTAGATCTAACTTTCCCGAAACGACCGTGTCGAGAATCATGTATGATTCTTTGTCGGCCAGCCATATCTGCTTCGATTTGATACGTTTCTTGGGAAATTTATGCTTTTCGACGAATGTCTTGTCAACGAATAACCCAGTTGCGCCGCTATCAAGAAGAACACGAGCAAACTTGTTTCCGATGCGACAATGAGAGACCCAGAGTCCAGCAGACAGTGGTTTGAAGGCACGTTTATCGGTAGGATCGTATGTTGTAGCCCAAGCAGAGCTACCGAGGGGCTCTATCGACCTTGGGAAAAACTCGAAGATTGATTTGTAATAGTATTCGTAGTATTTGCAGAGTTGACGGCGTCATCGAGAATTTCCGTGATGCGTGACCCAGCATCAACCTGATTGGCTGAACCTTGTTGTTGATTAGGTTGGCAACTGCGCTGCGGAGTTTGAGCGCCACGACCGCCCTGTCAAAAACCACCGCGTCGGTTCTGGGTTTGCGAGCCTTGCTGTCGATTTTCGGGATTTGACCAGCATTCAACTCTCCAATGTCCCATTTTGTTACAAAGGGGACAAGGGGTCGTTGGACGTTGACGAGGACTTGTTGCCAAGGCAATCGGACGAGGTGTATTGGATTGGTTGCCGTCAGTGAACCCATGAGCCACATGAGCACGACGGGCTGCAGTAATAGC